AAAGGTCAAGGAGTTCTTTCTCCACCAGAAGATGTCAGCTACAGACGCTGCTGCACAAATTGCCCCTGACACAAACAAGCTCTGATGATCTTCTCCTTCGTTAGGGTCCAACAGGGTTCGTGGACAAAGCCTGCCAGACTGGAGGCCAAACTTTGTGCTTCAGCTATAAGCAGTAGGTGCGGAACCACATCAGCAACAGTCTTGAGTTTATTGTCTGAGGCACCTCCTGAGAGAGCTGTGCATCCAGTGCCCGTGGCGGGCTCTCTGGAACCAGCGCCTGTGGCGTGGGGGTGCGCGATTTCCCCTTAGATTTTCTATTCAAGAAAGGCCTATGAACCATCTGCCCATGTTAAACCTAGACCCGACACAACACAAGGAACACGTTTGTTGCCTTCCTGCTTCAGGTCCTTTAAAGGAGATCCGGCCTTCGAAGAGCCCGTGGCAGCTTCGGGTTCTGGGTTTTCTCGTCCCACTTTCCGGCGAGTGAACGCGAAGCTCCAGATTTGGCTAACATTGGAATTAGGACTGGGAGGATGGATTCTACGACTGCAATAACACATGCGCAGATGCTCAGACAATCCGACAACCTTGCTACGCGGAGCCGTTTTTCTACCAGTCATATGATGTGTGCTCCTCTGCCCCAAGAGCTTCCCGAGGCTTCGGTGAATACTTAATCCCAAGATCAATCTCGAAGCCTAAGCAGATCTCACGTACTCGCAAAGGTCCCCTTGACGGTGCTCAGCAAGCCCGAAAGACAAAGCCCCAACCATGAATCCATGCAGCAAGATTGGATTCCTTTTTGTATCGGTAGACAGTGCCCGCGCTTTAAACAGGAGGGCACTGTCAATGAGGCTCCGTAGGTTTTCCTCTTCCCACGGCCTCTGACTATCAGGAACAAGGCCTTTGGGAGTGCTTTGCGGGCTGGGGAACTGCGAGGCAATAAAGAGCCGTAATAAGAAAAGGGTTCGGGGTAGAATCTTTGGTATTAGTATTATAAGTACGAGGAACCCTAAGGAATAACATGGCTGATTGTTCAAGCTTCTATATTGCAGACTCTGCAGCTGCCGGGTTCAGTGCTTAGACTGCGGTGCGTAGGAGCTTTGAGGAATGCCGGGGCTAGGCTTCAACCTTTGTCATGCACTATAAGAGGCACTGTACTATTAGGGGTACCATCCGGGTTCATAGAACCTGCGATAATTGCTGTAGTTACCAGAAGATGACCGCTGCATCCCGGGAGGGCAGCAATCAATTTCTGTGTGGCCTGAAGGCTCAGTCGGCCTACACCACAATCGAGCTATGGAACTGAATCGCGATCTCCTCTCCAGCATACGTAGCTTGCCGATCACAGCTTGATTGGAAAACGCCTACACCATGGCCAGGCGAAACGACCACAGCACAGATCCGTCTTGCTTGCGGCATGCCGGGGTAAGCGCCTTTCCTGCTGGAAATTCGGAGCGTCTGGCTGCCTGAGTACCAGGTTCCGGAAATCCGTCTTCAACCCTGAAGCCAAACCGCGACTGTTCTCGCCTGCCTAAACGCGCTTCAATCCTTGCTTCTCTATGGTCCCTCATGGACATGTAGACATCCAGTGCGATCGACCAAGAACGAACCATCCCTTTTTGTTTTGTGACTCGAAGCTCTCCATGGGTCCGTATAACCCTATACACCAAGCAAGCAATTGAAAATGCACACCCGCAAAGTTCTTCAACAGGTTCGCCCTGCAGCCTTTAAAGCTAGAAGCGGAAAAGAAAAAAGCTTGGCAAACCAGGTTTGTGCTGTAGTTGGAGTTGTAGGCCAAAGGACTGCAACTTGCCCTGGCTTCGAAGAGCTTGGTTGTGCGAGGACCGCCTATAACTCCGAAACCTTCGAAGCAAGAACGCCTAGAGTCTCGGAGAGACTCAGCGACAGAGGACGAAGGAAAAGGTTCTTGCAGGTTTCGTGGAAGTTGTGTAAACCAAGAAAGATGCAGTTGTGGGAACGGCGTATTGTTGAGCAGCCGAGATGCTGTCTTGCCACGCAAAATCTATGGTCGAGTAGCTGCCCTCGCGGTATTTGGTAGAAGAGCCGTCATCCTCAAATAAAGCCAAGGTTGCATCTGCTCCCGGGTAAATGCGGACTTCCAGATCAGGATTCGTGTCAGCTGTCGACTGGATGCTGGGCCCAAGAACCAGGAGGGATCCCTTGCGGCAGAAGAAAGGAGCTTGCTGCAAAGTGAAGCTCACATTTTGCATTCCTCCATACTGCTCTCCGGTGTGGAAATTAATCCAACTGCCTTGCGGGAAGTAAATCTCCCTTGTAGTCGCCTTACCGGAGTCTCCGGCCGAAACAATCGGAGTCACCAGCAGGGAGGGTCCAAACATGTAAGCATCCGCGATGCGCCGTGCTGCCGCATCTTCAGGAAAATCGAAGGTCAACGCTCGCTGCATCGTGTAGGCTTGCGCTTCCACGCGCCAAAACCCAGAATAGACCTCGATCTCCGAGGAGGCAGAAAGCGGGCTACCAGAACACCACACACCTGATTTAAACCAGTAGTTAACTCCTATCAAACACATCGTAAAATTGAACCAGCACATGATCTGGAGTTGCATAGGGCAGGAGCCGGTATCTCAGAGTAATAGCAGAGATGTTGATGATGTCCATGGTGGTGTTCCCGAAGTTCCAGATTTCCGTGTGACTCCCGGCTCCGTGGACCCGGAAGATCGGCGTGAAGACTCCAAACTGAAACCAGCGAATCAAAAGTCTGCGATAGTCATCCTGCGCTGGCGTGAATTGAACGTTGCTTGGAGAATAGGTGCAACTGCTGGGATACACAGCGATTCGCAGTCAAGAGGCAGAAGTGTATTGATCTTTTGGTCGGAAGAAACCTGCAGCTAACAACCCGCAGAAGCTCAAGCGAGGAAAACCGGAGTTCGTCGTAGTTGCCACAGGCATGCACCCGCAGCACCACCAAAAAGGGCCGACTCACTGGTACCTTTAAGGGACCCTAACTATGCAGCAGGATCCTTCACGCAAGGATCCGCCAGTTTTAAACACTCTTCCTCACACAATCTCTCCGATCTCCTTCGAACCCGACCCTCCATACTAGGGCCCAACATTGATCTACATGTCGTCAGGGCTTGGGGTTTTGGGGCTTTCGGGTTTTACCTCTTCCCGGTCCTGATGGCATGGCAAGTCGAACCTGTGTACCAGCAACAAACCATTGATTGTCGCTTCTATTGCAGCAGAGGTTCCACCGATGTCCTGTGCCCAGTAGGGTATGCCAGACATCCTGAGCAGACTATGCTGGTAGTAAAATTAGTATTTCGATTGGAGGGGCTTGCTGGAACCCCTCGCTGCATGTATTATGGGGTTTACGCTAATTACAACATGGTACTGCGGTGTACACTACTATAATTGGACTCGAAGGGACAATTGTCATTGTTGTTGTTATGCCGGCAGAAATTCGTGTGCCACCACAAGCCGGGGCACGGGTAGTTGATGGAGCTCGCCACCTGCCGACGAAGCATGTCCCAACTCGCCGTGGTGTCTCCAGTCCTTAGGAAGAAGCGGCTGAAAAGCCCAGTGTCTGGGGCTTAAGCCCTTTAAACCCAAACCAAGATGTTCCTAGAACCCTAATCTCTAAACTGCAAGCCTACAGCCACGGCCCTAATCCGTCAGCTTTACGTATTTATGAAGCATACTGGCTACTCCATGTGGCATGACGCAACAAACTTGTGAGCTAACACAATCATATGAATGTTGTCATAAAGCAGGAGCAGACATAGACTATGCTATCGTACCATGTGGCATTCCCAATTAATTTGTAGTATTAAGACAGCATCGTACTCTTTGTACGAGTATTGCTACTCGTATTCATACCCGGTCCGGTTCCATACGAAGATAAAGGGTAGAGATGATCGACAAGACAAACATGCAAGGATAAAAACACAAGTATGAACATCATGTAATGAAAACGATGTAACACAGAAATCAACACTTTTTATCGTGTAGCAACCCGGACAGATATTTATCGGAATATGAGGTACTGAAAACATGAACTTAACGTCACACGTAATGCAATACAAATGCACATTTCAACATGCGTAAGGTGTAGCAAAGGCGTATAAGAATGACTGCAATGTTAAAGCACGTAAAGTATTAAATGAATATAAGCGAATAAAACAGGAGAAACCATGAGTTTTACTGGAAATGTAGCGTAGGGGCAGTATGAATCGGAAATATCCCTCAGAAGGAAAGCTAGGTATTAACCTGCACATAGTGTAGCAGAATTTTAAACATCTTATCTTTCAGCATCCCAGCCGCCAAAGAGCAGCTCCCGTCTTCTGCTGACCTGCAAAGGAGCTCCTGCAGGCTTTGCGCTATGGCTGAAGCTAGGGCGTGTTTGCTTTCTTTTCTATGAGGCTTTCTGTGTAGGTTTTGCAGCTCTATGAGGCTTTGATCTATTGGCCTTCACTTAGAGAAGGGTTCCCGCAAAAGTGTTCTACATGAAGTTTACTACAAAGGGATTGTAGGAGTTCAAACCACGGGCCTTGATAGTTAGAATGCGTTTTGGGGTATGCTATATAGTATAGTTTTATTTATGCGGCGATACTACTACAAGTAAGAGTTTTTCAGACTGTTGTATCAGATCAGTGCTGTTTAAGCACCCTTTCGCGAAACAACGGATCCATAGTCGACAGATTCACAAGGGCTTCAGGAACTTTTCTGTTTAGCATCGTTTTGAGTCTTACAAACACTTGAGCCCGCAACCCTGACGCTTTGTTTTCGGGGATGAAAAGAACTGTCGCATGTGAAGGAGGCCTTCTATACTGCGGTAGGACGAAAGTTTGACCTACTCCTTGTTTCGTCGAACACAGGCCCCCATTCCCCCATAGAATCCTAACAAGCAGGACCAACCGGCTACTCCTCCGGAACACTAAAGTAGTATATTTTCAAAACGGGGTATAAAATACTCCGCTGGCCAGGCCACGTAAATCGCACCTTTCGGTACTCCGCTACTCCGCAAGACGTCTTAAGACAAGACAGATCATGTAGGTCAAAACTTTTGTCCTCCCGATGTAGCAGCAGCATTGGGCATCTTGGATTTCAGGTGGTCGGCCGGGCCATCATGTACGGAACAAGAATGGACCAGGCTTTCAGTCTGGCCTCTTTCAATTTTTGTGTTCTGGTCAAGTTGTGTTTCCGACATGGCTTTACAACTCTGTGTTGGATTAGGGCCGTGGCAACGCAGCCTCTAGAAGGCTCACTAGCAGTATATGGGTTAAGATAGAGCCGATTTCAGGTATCCATCTATTGGATACTTGACAGGGTCTGGGTACAGGGCTCGTGCCTCGTCAAGCTGAAAACGCGAGCGCCCTGAGCATTCGGATAATCCTCGGCTGACATTGCACCGGCCGGTTGGATATTAATGCTTGGGCTTCCTTCAACTCTCTGACTCTTAGACAGAACGGGCCCAACAACCTTTACAATCTTTCTTGCAGTCTGCCGAGCAACTTTCCGCAATCCATTTGCAATTCCTCAGTTTGAGTGGCATTGGATGCTTCGGCAGGATAGGTTCGATCAGTTGGGGGATTCAGGTAACTTGCAAAGAGAGTGTCCAATATCTAATCAGCACTGCTAGCTGCTAGAAGTGGCATCAACACATCTTTGCTCGTCCCAAACATGTCCTGGAATTCGGGCTTCCCGTATCGTTTTGGCAGAGTCTCGCTACTGGTTTTCATGTTCGGGAATCACCCTGGCTGAGCCAATGTACACTGCCGTTGACCTCGTCTGCTATGCGTCTAGGATCGGCATGGTCCAGTGCCAATGACAAGTGCTTGCTTGGCCTAGAGCAAGCCCTAGCAGCATGCTGCTTGAGAAGGCGGTGTGCTGGCTTGACACTTTTTTGGCGATGATTTCCCCGCGTCGTTTCGAACACATCTAGCAAAACAAAGCTACCAGTAACAACCGTGGGCAAAGAGAGAAGCCATCTTTCCAGTCAGTACCTTCCGCTGATGCTGGCTGCAAGAGTTTTCGTCCTCTGCACCAAGCCCTGGTCAAAGCTGCGCGAACTCCGAATCGCTTCCAAACCCTGAACAGAATCTCGAAGGCATCTGCTTGCAGTTTTCCCGCATCTGCGAGAAGGCCCATATCAAAACCTCGTAGGATTCTGAAGACATCCTTTTTGAATCCAAGGTTCCCGATGTGGTTTCCAGAGAGAAGGTGTTCATATATTGGTTCCCGGAGCCCAGGAATGTCTCCTCCGGTTCGTGAGGCTCACCAGGCTTGATACACGGGCCGGAGTGTTTGGACTAGGGATTCGGCGGAAATTGTACTCCAACTAGGTTAAGGAGCCCGAGGTGGCGGGGTGGCGGTGTTGTTCGTTGGTCCAGGCAGACATCTTACTCAGAACTCCTCTCTGAACCCCCCACCCCTTTTCTGCCTTCTCGGAGCGATATCAAGAATCCTTTCGGGAACCATGAGTTCCTCTACCGGGTTCCTACATTCAACGTTCAATGTGAAACCTGAAACTCCGTTCAGCCAGACTTCAGTTTGAGATAGGTTTTGCTCGTGTAGCGGTGCTCACGCGTGTGCTCTCCAGGCGAGGCATGTGTCCACTTGGTCTGTAATGGGTGCAAGGAAGCCGGAAGTGTCAAAGCAAGGCGTCATACATTAAAAGCTGCCCCCACCCTGTAATAGTGGTACAATTAATAGGAATACAATAGGGCCCTACTGTAATCCTTATAGCCACTACAGTATTACAGGGTGGGGGCAGCTTCTAAGTCATACAGCACAACAGGCACGCAACACTTAACATCAAGATTCCAGCTCGGGGCTTCGGGTTTTGGGGGTTTGAAGGTTGGCTCTTTTATAGACTGGAGCCCGTACTATAGTGGCCTTAACAACTAAAATAGAGTTGTGGGGCCCATAATACCATACTTACGATATAAGGAACCCCCAACATAGTAATGATGGTAACTATTCAGGCTCCCATATGGGAGTTTCCGAAAATTGGGGGTTACCTTATTTGGGGTCCTTATAATAAGGATCCTACTATTCAGGGTACTATATTAGGGTCCCCTTTTTCGGAAACCCCCATATTACAGTAGCACCGTGACTAGTGCTCTCCTGGTCGATGTTGGGGAGGCCCTCGGGTTCCGTCGCATCCAACCACAGGCTCTCCTGCCGGAACACGCGGCTCCGAGTTCTTTCATGGCAAGGTAGGACCCTAATATAGTACCCCCCCAAATAGTGGGATCCTTATTATAAGGACCCCAAAATACGGTACCCCTAGGTTCGGGGGTTAAGGTGTTAAGTGTTCCAGAACCAGCCCCGGCTCTCCTCAAGAACATATTGCTAAATGATCGTTCCATGAAATTGTGCTTGTAGCCTGAGAAGTTTATGTGAACGTTAACGTTTGCTGCCGCGAGACGATGAACCACAATGCAACGTTTCACCCCGCCTGATCCCCCACCGCACCACCCACCACCCCCGTCCCATCTGCGCCCGATAGAATGTTTGCTAAACTGTCAATATAGTGGGGACCATCATCGGGAAATCTAATCCTAATCACAAACATGGCTGAAGAATTGTTTCATATGGATTTGGGCCGCGAAAACAGGGATACGATGCAGTTTCTCAAGCAAAGGTAACGTCCTTAACAGTGTTAGGCTACAGCCTGATTAGGGCTACTGCTTTGATATTGCAGGTTTAAGCAGTTCCAGTTTGACGTGCCGCCGGCAGAGCCGCAGCAGGCATCATTACTTCCTGAGTAGCTCCGCAACTTGCCCTTAACCTCGAAGTCCGTCGAGACGGCATGATGCATCTTCTTACAGTTGGTTAGTAGGGAATGGAAGAATGGTAGTAATACTATTTGTAATTGTGCCCCATTCCTGAATTCCCTACTAACCAAAGGTAAGATGCAAAGTGGCGCAGGACAAGCTGCAAGCTCTGTGCAAAGCAGTTTCCGATCGAACGAAAGACCTACACGGTGTGACGCAGGGGCCTGTCAAGACAAAAACATCGGGAAGTGGGACTGTTTGCGGAGGCGGCGCCGGCTTAATGACGTCCGGTCTCATCAGATCACTGCATGTGCATGGTCATGCCGTCTTCATGATGGTGGCGGTGATGGTGACACTAATTGAAACGGGTGTTCTTGATGTTGCTGCAGACTGTAATGGTGATGGATGGTGATTTTGGTCACTGCTTTTTCTTGTTTTCTCTTTGTTCGTTGCATGTGGTCTTCATGGTCATGGCCTTGTAGTCTTCGTGGCCGTGCAGTTTTGAGTGCCAAAGAAGCCTTTTGCAAGTCCTTTTTTGCAACAGGCTTCGTACTTCAGCCCTAAACCCTAAACCCTCAAAAGGTTCGGAACTTGCTGCTTACAGCGAAGCTCCCAAATGAGCTACAGCGATTCGAGACAGCCGCCACAATTGAAGTGCAAGGATGCGTGGAACTCTTCACTTCTCCAGCGGCAGATGCAGCAGTAAGAGCGACGTCGCTTAACTCTGTCCCAAAACACAGAGTATGAGGAAACTGTCCCATGCCAAGAGCCCCCGCTGCGAATAAAAACAAATCCGAAAATGCAACATGCATACAGTGTACAACGCCCGCGCTGTGGCCAGAGTACGATTTCAGCAACAAACTTTAAAACTTTGAGTTTTCAAGGCCAGCCGAAAACTGCTCAACAAATCACACAGGTACCAATCAAACATGCAGATTGGCCAATAGTTTGCATGACAGCTCCTCGTTCATGCAAAACGCGCATGTCGCTCGAGTCTCTACCATGTCGCCGTGTTGCACATTACGAGATAATTACCAATACTATTTTGGAGGTTCCTTCTTATATCAATAGTACAATGGGTCCCAAAACCCGAGTCTAACTATTGAGGTCCCCCCTGTAGTACAACAGAGGTCTCCAAACGCACGGCCCTGTACGGGCCCTGGTACCTTTGACTACGCTTCCGGCTCAGCCCCTCCTACATGTTTTCATTTGCTTGACGACGTCGTGGCTGTATGCTTTTCAATGTCTTCGTGTGCGATGTCTTCGGACATGTGCGGCTACGGCTTCACGATGAGGATTTGCTTCAGTTCATTCCTACATGAGGTCATGCTCATCACTCACGTGGCTCTCTTCGCCTGAATTCTCACAGCCTTTTCGACTCGACCTGTTCCGAGTCTCTCATGTTGCTCGGGCTCACCACTTCTCGAGACCCTGCCACAGGAACACAAGGAACATGGAATCCAAAACCCACAGACGGTTCAGTCCACACCGATGGCGAAGTGGGCTTTGTTGCAGAAATCATAGTAGAGGGTCCTTGGCAGAAGTCTTCCGGGCTAGATCACCTTTCGGCGGTTTCGGATGGGATGTCTAGCCTGAAGTGAATGCAGCATATGGCATATCGGCATATTTGTCTTCAGGTTGGGAAGTTCGGTAAAGTATGCACAAAGACAGGAGCGAAAGGTAACAACACCTGCGTTGTTTAAAGACATGGCTTGCACCTTGCTGCGCAACTGTAAAGGTCTAGCGGGTACAATAGTCTACCTCCGTCTTTCAAACCCGACCTTTGCTTTACATGCGGCCTTTCAGCTTTGCTACCCGCTCCAGCAATGTTCGATCCGCGCTTTGACGGCGGCTGCCGAAAGAGATGCGTCTGCACTTTTTCTGCGTTTGGCATACCAAAAATGGATGCTGATTCGTCCTACTACTACGAGGTATGCTGCAGCGCTACCGTGCAATGCTTGCTTTAACAACCGAAAAGCTTCTGGGAATTACATGGACTTGCGTGCTCACCGTCGTAGCAGCACTGAACCGAGTAGCAGCATGATCAATGACACATCACGATTACTCATGACATATTGAAACGGCTCTCCTGAAACAGGCAGGGTCTTTTGACAGCCTGCCACGGAGAGGATCTCAAGGGCACAGCCTATGGTGCAGTGCCTCGATTGCCTCGTGTCGACATGATGCAATGAACGAGCCCAAGTCCGACAAGCAAACCTTACGACTCCGTCTATCCCTGACGCACATTCCCCTGATCGAAATCTCACCCCGAGACCTTAGAACACACTTCTGCTAAGGCTCTGTGCATGTGGGTTCCATGCGTCGTACCAATTGTTGTTGGTTTGGTTGGTGTTGCCCAGCACCATCCTCGGTCTCTGAGGTCACCATGCGGCATAATGCAATGAAGGCGACGACTGGACAGCTTTGTGGATGAGGACTAGGGTGTTGGTCTTCATAATGGTGTTCCGTTTATTCAGGATGCTGTTGATGGGTGCTGTTGCAGGTTGCGAAGAAGAAGAAGATGGTGACAATGATGCTTGAGGAGACAGCTTTTAGCAGTGCCCCACCTTGTCCACTGCTGCGCCTTGACTTCCTAACTTTGAGTGCTAAGATCTTGCCGATGCCGCGATGTTGCTTAAGGAGAGCCTTTTTGTCATGTGTCTTTTAACGGAAGGGGTGTCGAGGATGACACTCGCGCCGAGAATGTGAGGCATGAACAAGCACCATGATGATGATGGTCTTTGGTGCTACAGCGGATGAACCGCCAGATCGCAGCTGAACCGAGCTCTTTGCCACTGCGCGCAGAAGGGCAGCGCTAAAGCAGCCAAGAGACAACACATTTTGCTGTTGGAGAACTGAGAAACGAAGGGACGCAAGTCGCTCACTCCAAATCTTATGAACCTCGCGCCCTCTTCAACCTAAAACATGAAACACTAAACGAACCCCCTAAACCCCAGGAGCTCTGAAAGCCAAGGATCCCAGCTGCTTTCATCGCCTTCAAGGCTTTAGGACGTTGGGACCTAGCTTGAGGGCTTTGCCTCCTGCCTTGCTCGGACGAACCTACGACGAAAGTCCTAGCTTTTTTGCGAGTCCTTCTGTCATGTCCTTTGTAGATAGTCGCTTGAAAGCTAAGCAAACCCCGGACCCCAAACCCAACCCAGACCCTCGACCCCCAAAAGCGTAAACCTACAGCACTGTCACGAGAACCCCTTTAACAGAGCCTTATGGAACCCTCTAAAGGAATCCCTTAAAGGAAGCCCTAAAACCAGGAGCCCTTAAAGGAAGCCCTAAACATCCCTAAACCCAGGATTTCTTAAAGGAAGCCCTAAACCCAGGAGCCTTTAAAGGAAGCCCTAAAACCGAGGAGCCCTTAAAGGAAGCCCTAAACCCAGGATCCCTTAAAGGAAGCCCTAAACCCAGGAGCCTTGAAGATGGCGGTCTTGTTGTCGAACTTGCCCCAAACGGAGACCATGAGCTTCCTGGCTCTAGGGTTAGGGGTTGAGTACTGCCCCCATACAGTAACAGGCTTCTTTTTCAGGTCCAAATTTGACTGAAACCTTCTCTTCGTGTTTCTTGGGAGTCTCCGGGTTACGGGTAATGGGTCTGGGTTGGGTACTGCCCCCATACAGTAACAGTCTATAATAGGGCTACTATTAAGGTCCTATTATGTCTATATTAATAATATTATCCAGCTGTTACTGAGTGGGGGCAGTACCCAAGTTAGGGGTGGCTTCCTTTAGCGCAGACTTATTGTAGGAGCTATACATTGGTAGTTGTCAAAATGAAAGCCTCTTTTGGGTACCCTAAATACTAGGTGCCGTATTATAATAGGGGCCCAAAAAGGGACCATGATTGTGACAACCACCCACATGGGAGTTAGAAGGGGCAACTTGTAGGGGCTCTGACATGGGGTTGGGGGGCTTCAAACGTCCTTCAACAAAATCCCACAGGCCGTACAACCCACCAAAAATCCCCGACGCCTCAATAGCTACAATCGGGTTCTTGGGTATACTGTAGTATAACAACTCTGCTTTCTGATATGGTCAAAGGGAACCTTGAGGATATTCGGCCTTAATGATTGGAATAGGGTTTTGGGGCCCACTATACTACATTTATAATAAGGAGCCTCCAATTTAGTATGGGTAGGTATGAAGGCCCGTATAGTAGTACGTTCAGACGAACTTAGGTCACAGCAAACAACGGAGTGCAAATGGGATCGGGGGCTACCAGCTATGACGCAAGAATCTAGGTTTCCCAGTAGACCTCGTTTTTTCCTAATACTCAGTTTTGACAAGGAAACCGCAGAATAAAAAGGCAAAGGGCAGGAAGACCTGGAACCAGTATCACTCCAAGTGACTACATAATCCAATGGCCGGCACGGCCGGCACAGACAAGAAGAACATATTCCGCATCCAACGAAGCTGGAACAACAGCAGGCGAAAGTACGATAACCACTCTGGACCTCGGACACTGTCTGACTGCGGGCAAAAGTCATGTCCATGGTCTTTAGCGCCTGGACCATGCCTCACAAATTGGAGCTTTTTTCGCTGTGGGGGTTCGGTGTTTGTGTTGCTTTGTGGAAGTTGCAAACTGGAACAACTCACAGAAACTGTACACTAAACCCGTAGATCGTGGAACCCCAAACCGCTACAGCCAAAAGGCGTGCTAGAACCTACAGCTAAGGACGCTGACCCTAACAACGCTAAGACACCCTACTAAGTCATTATGCCTCATTCTTTCGCTGCCCACCCTGCAGCCCTTTTTCTTGTTGCATTTTCGCAGATACACACATTTTCCCTCCAAGACGTTCCAATAACCTGTCCTAGGAAATTTCATACCCTGCGCACATCTGCCATGCTCGTGCGCGAGTAGCTTCCGTGACCGAATCCGCTCTGAGTGTGTGACTTTCTGTGCAGGAACCCTCGTTCACGAATCCACCACAGCAGTGCACGAATCCCATGTGCACGAATCCTTTGCTCATTCTGCGAATCCAGAATTTCCCGGATGCGAGTCCTCCCTCTCTGCCTTGAGTACACATTGATCCCCGAAGCCTTGAAGGTATTGAGATTCTGCGTTTGTTCGAGGTTGGTGCTGGCTTTCACTCTGCCCGCCCTTACTAGCCCGCAAGCCGTCACAAGCCAAACGCTTAAATCCTTGCCGGAACCCGTATCCTTCATTCCCGGCCCTATAGCCCTGAAGACCTAAACCCTCGATGACTGAACCCAAATCCCTAAAACTCTCTTTAAACCTATCGCTGCTTTGATTTGTTCATCGTTTAGATAGGGGTCAGATTAGGAGTACTGTCTTGAGGGATCCTTGTGTTGTGGGGTGCATTTCAGGACCCCTGAATCTTATTGGATCCTTACGTCGAAGAACATACTGTTGAGATTTTTCAGACCCCGTGTTTTCTTTAGTTTGCGAAAGCGTCTGGCGGTTCGAAGGCACATTGGAACCTGCCTGCAGGGTCAGGGTAGCGCGTCAAATCCCATTCGGGTCCCCAGCCGAGATCACCCCAGTACAGCCAGTCCTGCCGAGAAAGTCCACGGGTTCGGAAAGGTCAGTTTTCCAGAAGATCAGAACAGCATCGGTAACTTGTACGGGACATGGGCAGATCTGCTTCATGTGCGTCTGTTTTGAGTTATGATTATGTCTGCTCCTGTTTTTCTTTCCGTTGCAAAGGGCGTGTGTGCGATTGAAAAAGTGGGTAGGACCACACTGTCTTTATGGAGTCTTACCGTCTTTTCACACGAGAAGGACGCTGCAATCCTCGAACAGTGGGATCGTTCTTCATGCTCCTGGCTGCCACACCCCATCAACTGATGTAAATCGTCAGTTTTTCCTTGTTCCTGCAGGTGTTGTGACAGTCACCTTGCACAGGGGTGCCTGCTAAGTTTTCAAGCAGAACAAACGTTTGGTAGAGGGCTTGTGTCGCAAACAAGATGCTCGGCCACCAATGGGTCACTCAGTCTCTCAGGAACCATCTTTCTAACGTGGGGCTCTCCCTCAACTTTGTGAAGAGGTATCTTGTTTACATAATTCTGTCTGGCTCAGTACTTGAGTCCCCTTGGAGGTCCCTGTTTAATCATGCTGGAATATACTGGAATATGTCCCTCAAACCCTATACATGTCCTGCACGATGGCATCCACTGGGATCGATCTGTCCCGAAAGCCATGGGCGGCCTGGCACAGGAACCCCTTGGGTCCAGTTTGGACACTGAAGTGTATGGATACTGATCCCGGGAGGGTTTTTTCTTTGGCATCTTTCCTCAATGAGCATGCCTATGAAGTGCCGTGCCAAAATCAAGCTTCTGCAACGAAAACAACTGCGGTCGTTGCAGAAGCCCACTGCCAGCTACCCACGAGCAACCCCACTACCCGAGTAAGTGTGTAATGACGAAACGGTATGGGAAATCCACATCGTCACATCACCGTTTATTCGCCCTCGACCACGCTGCCTCGAGAACCTCTGCTTGGCTTGCATAGTGCTCTCGGCACTGCCAGAAGCCGAAGGCATACTTTCCATACAAAGGTGCCGCACCTGCCGGAAGAGCTGCCCAGCCCCTACAGTAGAGTTCCGCATTTACTGCCAGCAGGCGTTCGGCCTTCCCCGTGTGTTGCGGGTCCAATGACGAACTCCGAGCTTTGGCCAGGGATATGCGTCAAAACCACAGCCCACCTGTAAAAGGAAAACGGCCCGAACTCTGCTAAACCCTACCCCCACAGTAAACCCCTCGACCCTCAGCCCCTACCTGTGATGCTGCGGTAGCCGGCGATGACGTCATCCATCCGAGGTCCTTTTACGAAGTAGTAGTCGATCGCCTCTGCCAGGCTCGACCTGCGACCAGGGCAGTTCTTCAGTACTCTGACTCTCGGGGGCCGTTAAGACTCGGAATATGCAACAGAATCAAACAAACAAATTGCCGAAGGTACTGGAAAGTGAGAGATCTTAAGAATTGGAATATATACGAAAGCTATAGCAAGGACCCCGAAAGGGAAAATAAAAGACGTCATTTGGGGCCCTACATTAACGGAAAGCTCAGAAAATCAAACGGCCGTGTCAAGGAACAAATCTGAACTCAAACGATGTCATTCATAGCCTGGGCTGCGGCACAGCCGACAGCATGCGCAACAGAGACGGGACACCATGGATGTTGGGGCCTCTGAATTCGCACTCGTGCATTCCGAGCCCGACAGACCAGCATTAAGATCTGAGCTTCAAGCGACTTTTTTGGATCCAGGTCTCGGACGCTATAGCTTCGAGCGGAAGTGAAAGCCTTTTGAACCCAGACTCTGCTGAAGGTGAAAGCCCAAACCCTGAACCCCGGCCTTAGAGTCGTGCGCCCGCTGTCATGATCAGGGCCCTGGACATAGAGCCCAGCGCCTGGAGTGTCGAAGCCTGGACAGAATCACTTGCAGCATGCGGGTCGCATGGGCCAAACACTCTCATCCATGCTAGTGCGATACAGGATTTGGTGCTTACTACTTGGTGTTTGAGTTTGGGGCATAATAATAACAACAATAAACACACCCTGATACCCTGGGCAGTCGGGCAGGCCTTGCAACTTCGGTCAAGATCTCAAACCCCTCAAACCTTGATAATACGCAGCACCCCAGAAGAGCAAGCAGACTTATGCAGCAACTCAAAAACGACGACAAAGACGGCAAATGAACAAACAAACACAGTCAAAAACAACCAACACTCAAGCAGTCAGTATAACCGAAATGTGTACCCCCCAGAGAAACCCCATACATACACCAAGAGAGTCGAAAGACACACCACAATGGAACTTCCCACATAGTCTGTATATATATATATATATATATATACACACCACTTTCTAAACCAAACACCGTACCAAGCATGGGCCCTCAACCCGAATGGGGTCCTCTAGAACCTCCGAGCCCTTTTTGCATCAGGACTTGTGCACTCGCCGGAACACATGGACGAAAGGTCAGCAACCTTAAACCCTAAACCTAGACCGTACTAATGCCTTTACCGAGTAGCTGAATCGAACGCGGTATCGATGGCCTGCCTGGCAGCTTTTGCAAGACCCACTTGTCGGGTATCATGGGGAACTAAAGGTTAACCTTTTTGGATATATAGGGATTATATAGGGACTATACGAGCCAAAAAAGGTTAAAGGTTACCTACTCTACTACTAGGAAGAGGCAGCTCGCCGAGCCCGAGGTCTTTCCCAGGGTCTAAGCAACTTGTTTTTCGTCGGGGCCGTGATACTTGAAATGTGTCCATCTTATCATACGTGATGAAAAAGAGACGCAAGGAATGACGTTGGTAACTACTCAGGATACTATATTGACGGAGTCGCGCGGCAGCGAAGCCACTAACATTCGCAGGATGCAGGTCCCGGGGTCCTGCAAATCCTCGTCAACTCCAGGACCAACCCCAACAGGCTTAGGGTTTCAAGGTGTAGCTTTGAGGTCTCAGGCGGTTTGGCATGGGGAATACTTATACCTGCACGGTAACCGGTAGCCGAAGAAGCGGAGGCAATTGATCTGCCAAACTCGGATGAAAGGGTCAGTGTCGGAACAAATCGACTCAAGGCGTTTCACGAAACGCGAATCTTTCCAGGTTGAAACTGCAACAAACAGCTTGAGGCTGGGTCCAGAGCCTTACAGAATAGGCCTAGGGCTTCGTTCTTGGAGTAAGCTTCTTCAGCTCCTTGTCTTTGAGCCCTGACTCTGACCCTTGGTACGGGGCTAGAATTAGGGCCCCAAAAAAGCACATAAGCAACAATTAGGATAGGGATATCCCATATCAGCCCCCTTGTAATGAAGCCCAATAAGGTAGGGATATCCCAATACGATGCTTATGCTTATGTGCTTTTTGGGTCCCTGAAGAAAGGTTTTCCTATGCCAAACGGTACAACGGTACAGCGCACGCACAAGTAACGGTCTGCGGTTTCCTGGCTTTGGTCTAGACTTCTGGGCTCTGGCTTCGAAGGGATACTTCGTGGCGTGTGCGAAAAAACACTGCGAGGCGTTGAAGTTGTGGAATATGTCATGAAGGAGCAAAGGCATCATCCCATCATCCCTCATTCTCTTGATGCTGTTTCGGTGGCTTGACACATGAAAAGGATCTTATTTCAAGGACCCCCAAACATTCTCCTAGCAGCAATTTGCGATCAGAGATGAGAGAGCCTTCATGTTTTCCACGCGGCCAGTGAGGGACGATGGGTGGTTTTGCTCATCCTTGGTCCACCTTAGAGGCGATTCTTGTTCAAGGTCCTGTATGTGTGAAGTGAAGAGCTCGAGGGTTCATCAAAGGTTAAGCTTCAGGCTTTGAGGTTGTAGCCTCAGTTACAAATGAAGGATCTACGGATATAAGCTTTAAGCCACCAAACGCAACCACCCCTAAGAGCCAAGAGCCTAAACCACAAGCCCTCTGAGATTCTTGGCCTAAGGAGTATTCAAGCCTTTAGGCTGCTGATCTTCAAACCGCACTCCTAAACAATAGGGGAGGAGCCTTAATTATTGTTTTAAACAGGCTGCTTGAAGGGTTCTTGCCAAATTTCAAAGGGTGCTCTCTAGGGGCCTCGGCCAACTGTTCGGGGATTCTCCGACCCTTACAGTACCTTCGGGGTTTCGGGTTGGCTTTAGGTTGTAGATGGTTGTAGGGTTTAGGATTCAGGCTTTGTAGGACTTTGCGGGAACTTGAGGGGGGGTTCTGCACACAGTTCAACCTGCAACTGAATGTCCGAGATTGACATCCGTGACGCATACCCCCCCTTTCCATGTAACGCCACCATGGCCAATATGCACCGGGGACCTTCACAAGGGGCCATACTCTGATCACTAGAATACTGTGAAGCAATGAGTTATAAGCGCCTCTGATATCGACTGTAGCTCCCATTGGGTTTTCAGAACGTGGGTTCTGAATGTAGTCGACCCCAGTGTAGCAACCCCATCAACCCGTATAGAACTTCACTAGCTGAAAACATTGAGGCACCAGAGAAGCCTGCTATGCGTGACTCAAGCCTCTGCAAAACTACAGCTGGAAAAGGCACCGAATGGCGACGATCTCGGGCCCACCCTCCTGCCAGGAGTGAGTTTTAGAAACTGATGGAAACACAATGATTTTGTTGTTGCCGCTTCGTTGATGTTGAAATCGTTACAGAATTAGTCGTCGTAGTGGTAGTCGCAAAAGTAGTAGCACTAATCGTTGTAGTTTTCCTGGATGCAGCGGCGGCCACAGCCGTGGTAGTCCAAGAAATAGCAGTAGTAGCAGTAGTAGTAGTAGCAGCAGCGGTAGCAGTAGTAATAGCAGTTGAAGAAGAAGTAGTAGTAGTAGCAGTAGCAGTAGCAGTAGCAGTAGCAGTAGCAGTAGTAGTAGTAGTAGTAGTAGTAGTAGTAGTAGTAGTAGTAGTAGTAGTAGTAGTAGTCGTGGTGGTGGCGGTGGTTGTGGTTGTGGTTGTGGTTGTGGTTGTAGTGGTAGTGGTAGTGGTGGTCGTGGTGGTGGTGGTGGTGGTGGTGGTAGTGGTAGCAGTAGCAGCAGCAGCAGCAGCAGCAGCAGGAGCAGCAGCAGCAGTGGTAGAAATACTGGCAGCAGCATGCAGCAGTAGCAGTTCCTGAACCCTCGAAAACATCTACGTAAACCCGGGGAGTGGGGGCTTTGATTCAATTCAATGACAGCAGCAGCAGCCGGAAATACTGATAGTAGTAGTAGTAGTAGTCGTCGTCGTCGTCGTCGTCGTGGTCGTGGTGGGTGGTGGTGGTAGTCTTTGCAGTAGAAGTCGTGGTCGTGGTGGTAGTAGTAGAACGTCGTCGTGCTGTCTTGGGAGTCGTATCAGTGGTCCTTGGTCCCTGTACTGCTCGCCGTAGCAATAGCAGTAGCCAGAGTGTCAGTAGCTATGGGTGGTAGTCGTAGGAATGTGCTTCCGATTCGTGAAACGGTATTGAATACTTGTAGCAGCACCAGTCAGGTGGCTCCTCGGCTTGAACGGTGACGGAAGTTTCATGCCCACCTCCCCACACAGGCTTGCTGCTGTCATCCATGAGCCTTCCAGGTAGCGTTAGCTTAGGCTGACAGGATTGAGAGTGCGAGCAAGTGGCTTGAAGCCTCGGAAAATGAGCTGTGTATAGCTGAACTGGCTGCAAACTTGCGAGCGCAGGAGTTGCAAGACGTCCGTTAGTCCAGTTTAGCTTGATGCCCAGATCAGGTCGCAAAGAACTCAATGCTGGACTCTGGACATTCAAAAACCGCGCACAAGCTGCAACATGCCATTGAAAACGGCCGGGACGGTTCAGTCGGCACCTGCCCATGTGGAAGAAGTGATCTCCACCGGTCGTTGGCTGGAACATCACCTGCAAGTCCGGTCGCTGCCAAAGCCATGCCAGAAGCTTGGCCGTCTGTCTGCCTATCTGCCTATCCCCTGGGGCATGCAACTTCAAGCTTCTCAATTTGTCAGAAGGCTCTGCCGAACAGTTCGAAATTGGCACGAGATCAGACTACATGCTGCCCTGTGCCGCTTCAGAGCGACTACCACATGTACAGGTCTCCCTCTGTCTGTCGCTCTATCCTCCAGGTGGTGGCAGGTAGGCGGAGCAGAATTGGGAGACGGTATGGTCGCGCTATCTGCATGCGCATTTTGCTGTTGCCAATGCTTTTGCCATCTTTTATCCTACTACTAGAAACTTTACTCTGTTTCTCTGTTTGTTTTAGCACTGGCGTTGCCGTGGATGTGCTTCTGTGCGCTGTTTACTGACTCTGGTCGTTGACGTGGCATGTGTGGCTCGTGGAGGGCTTGCCGCTGCTCTGCTCTGGTTGTTGGGGCTGGTGAAGTTGGTGCTGTTTCGACACGCACACTCGCTGACGCAGGCACGGCTTCGAGGTCCCACTGCTACCGTTAGTTGGTGCTGTTTAAAGCGTTGGCAGTGGTCATGGAGCTCCTGCACTGCAACTAATCCGGTCGTGGTGGATGTTCGTCGTTGCACACGACTATTTCCTGGTGATGCTATCGTGATTGCTATGGTCGTCGCGTTAGTTTTAGGCTTTGTAGAGTTTGTTGCTGCTGATGTTGGTTTTAGGTTGCTTGTCAACGGTGTTCTCCGTGCTGTTGCAGTGCTTGTCGTTGTCGTTGGTCGTCATGTTGGTGATATGGTTCATGCTGTCAACTTTGCTGAAGATTCCGAAAGGAACCGTATCACGATGGTTTTGGTGATGAGTATGACTATGACGGCACTAAGGGTAACAGTAGTGATGCTTATGTCAGTGTTGATGATTGTGTTGATGCTGATGCTGTCGCTGCTGATGATCGCATCTCGCTGTACTTCGTAGTTGCCGTCCCGGTGCACACCACTTCGTTGCTGGATTCGGAGTAGTATCGCTGGTTGTGGTCCAGAAACAAAGTTGTTGTCGCGGTGGTGGGCATCATACTGTTATGCGGATTTCGGGGGCCAGCCGGAGCCAAGAGTGCTACTTCCTTCGGCTCTAGCAGCTAGCACTGCGGCTCTATCCCTAAACGCCGGCCTTAGCCCCACATTGTAGGGCACAGAAGCGATTGCATTGAGTTGCTCTGGCGTCTTCAGGTAAGACCCACCAGGTGGCCTCGCCACTCTGAGCCTTTCCGGTCGAAGGTTTTGCCTTGGCTGCAGAGAAGCTCTAGTTCTTACACTGCTTACAGGTTCAATGCATAGAGCTGCTCTCGCTTTTGAGCTGGGCAAGCCCTTTGTCGTCTCTGCCCGGCGCTAGAGCCCTGCATGCCCTCAACAACTGAAGCAAGAAGCGGACGCACAACCCCAAGATTCACCAGGCTCTTGTCGTCACACCCCGCACTAGTCGCACAGAGCCTTGACGTCCCATATTCACCGCGATCGACCAGTGCAACATCGACCAAGGTGTAAACTTGAGGATGTAGGGACTCAGGTTTGGGGCTTGAAGAACAAGCGGATGGTGTCTTCCAACGAAGGCCCCCCAGCAGCACAAGGCCCAAGCCCAAACGCCCTGAAAGCCGAAATCCATAAAGCCATAATCCCATCAATACCAGTAAGCACCCTAAGCCCTAAACCCACAGACCTATAAAGGCTACAGCACACCGGAGCCCGAAACCCGTAGAGCCTTAGATGAGATCTTGACGAGAAAGACACGGCTGCTGCCCGAAGCAGCAGACATGTAATACCGCTCAAAAAATGCACCGACAATGATATGGGAGTTTCCGAAAATAGGGGACCCTAATGTGCCACACTAAATAGTAGGATCCCTCTTACAAGGACCGCAAAATAAGGTATCCCCCAATTTTCGGAAACTCCCATATGATACTAAATACTGACAGCGCCCCCCCTCTGTCTCAGTCGGAAGGCCAGGGCTGCCTCGGGCGTGGGAGGATTGAGGTACGTCCAGGCATAGTTGTCCCAAAGCCTGCGAAGAAAGGGACTTCGAGGGTTTTGGGTGCTTTTGCTTCAGGGTTTCCGAAACTTCCGGGTGGTTAAAGGGCCTTTCTCCATCTGCCGAAAGCCACCCTTGGTAGGGTTCAGGCTCGAGGGCTTCATCTGAAGACTGGGGCTCTTGAAGGCCCCGGAGGAGTTCTCAAATATGGGGAGTTTCCGAACCGTATTTGGGGGTCCTTATAATAAGAATCCTACTTTTTAGGGTACTATATTAGGGTCCCCTATGTTTGGAAATCCCTTATCTAATCTGCGGGGTTCGAGAGTTGGGGGCCGTGGTGGTGTCTCTAACTTCCGAAACTTGCCTGTCCGTCGTCTGAGTTTTCTGTATGACTCCTGGGTCCTAGATCTGCGCAGCTCGAGAAATCGCCGGTACGAAATATGCAATGCACCGAACGCGAACAGCATTTCCATGCGGAAAAAAATATGGAAAATCCGTATATACCCTTGTTCATGGTCTGCCAAGCTGCAGGCCATATCCGGCAGAAGACGCGAAGAACGGCACCACCGCTTCGAGGTTGAACTGTATGAGGGAGATGGGGGCCTGCTTTCAAGAGGCGAGATTCACAATCTTCCGGAATAGAAGTCTAGGCTACAGCCTGGGATGGAGAGGGCCCATTTGCCCTTGCGCTCGGGATGTTTGCAAAAGCCCCAAACAGCTGACCGCTGGTTTGAAATTGACCCAAGCTAGCCAAGGCACATGCTTGTAGTTGATGAGGCCGTTCTGGAAGGACCCACCTCTGCCAGTGTTTTTTCCGCACTCACGCTCGGACAAGCCTGCCAAGGTCTCTAACGACAGCAAAGTCGGTTGAGACATGAGATGCCTGAGTGGTCTTGTGAAGTACAGGAAAAGGTTGAACAGAACCTGTCAACCATAGCGAATACTTCAATGAGGTAGAACAAGTTTCTGCGGACGGCTTCAAGCTTCTACCGCATTTCATCTATCGGCCCTCTATGATGAAAGATCTTGATTCATACATACATCCATACATGCATGCGTACATACAGAGAGAGAGAGAGAGAGAGACACACACTCACACTCACACTCACACTCACACTCACACACTCACACACTCACACACTCACACACTCACACACTCACACACTCACACACTCACACACTCACACACTCACACACTCACACACTCACACACTCACACACTCACACTCACACACACTCACACTCACACTCACACTCACACACCACCCACACACACACACACACACACACACACACACACACACACACACACACACACACACACACACACACACACACACACACACACACACACACACACACACACACACACACACACACACACACACACACACACACACACACACACACACACACACACACACACACACACACACACACACACACACACACACACACACACACACACACACACACACACACACACACACACACACACACACACACACACACACACACACACACACACACACACACACACACACACACACAACACACACACACACACACACACACACACACACACACACACACACACAACACACACACACACACACACACACACACACACACACACACACAACACACACACACACACACACACACACACACACACACACACACACACACACACACACACACACACACACACACACACACACACACACACACACACACACACACACAACACACACAACACACACAACACACACAACACACAACACACACACACACACACACACACACACACACACACACACACACACACACACACACACACACACACACACACACAACACACACACCACACACACAAACACACACACAACACACACACACACACACACACACACACACACACACACACACACACACACACACACACACACACACACACACACACACACACACACACACACACACACACACACACACACACACACACACACACACACACCACACACACACACACACACACACACACACACACACACACAGCACACACACACACACACACACACACACACACCACACACACACACACACACACACACACACACACACACACACACACACACCCACACACACACACCACACACACACACACACACACACACAGACACACACAGACACACACAGACACACACAGACACACACACACAGACACACACAGACACACACAGACACACACACAGACACACACACACACAGACACACACAGACACACACAGACACACACAGACACACACACAGACACACACAGACACACACAGACACACACAGACACACACAGACACACACAGACACACACAGACACACACAGACACACACAGACACACACAGACACACACAGACACACACAGACACACAGACACAGACACAGACACAGACAGAGACAGAGACAGAGACAGAGACAGAGACAGATAGAGACAGACAGCGAGAGCGGGAGGCACACAGAGGAGGGAGAGATAGACAACAAGCAAGAAGAATCCGACGAAGCCAAAGTAGTGTCGAGTAGGCTGAGTAGGCTGACAGGAAGAAGTCCAGCTCAGATATACCATGGATCAGCACTTGGACAGAGAAACTACTGCTCGAGAAGGGAGCAGTCTCAGAAAAGAACCAGGCCATCGAGATCTGCAGCTGCCTCCATAGAGGCCCTCCCCCGCCGGGCCGGACCAGGACTGCCGGACTTCGTAGGATGCTTGGCCTTGGGTCACAGCTTGGCCGTGGAGTTTGTTAAAGGGGAAAAGGAGGGACCCTTAATGGGGACCCCTACCCTATAATGGGCGAAAAACTGGGTGTATAATCGCTATATTAAGGGTATATACCTAGGGGTCCTTATTAAGGGTCCCTCCTTTTACCCTTGGAGTTTGGGATCCTGCGTCAAGGGCCTGCCTAAGGTTGAGGCCTCGGGGTCAAGGGTTCCGTAAATCCTAAAAAGACGAGCTTGATGCAAATCCTAGGATTTACGTCTAGCTCGTCTTTGTGCTTGGGGGCCAAGATGCCGAGATCCGTCACCGTCTTGAAGCTGTGGCCAGCCTCACTGAGGATCACCTTTCCAGAGGAGGCGTCCGCAAAGCTGCCTCAAGCGTTTGGATTCCGGGTTTCGCGATTTGGGAGTTTCAGCAAGCGTATTTCGGGGGCGCAAGTTCAATTTTGGATGATTCGCGTGGGATCCCCGAAGACAAAGGGGTTCCGTACTCCTCTCAGACAACCCAAGTCATGTGATTGCGGAGCGTTGGGAGTTCTGTGTCCAGAATCTGCAGAGCCGCCGCTGCCCGAAGTCTTGGAGAAGGTCAAGGACACCTCTTTGGTGGTCACGGTGACATCCTTCCATTCCGAATTGTTTCTCCCTCTTCCGGGAATTCAGCAGTAAGCTTCAGGGATTCACGAGATTCAAAGGTATCTGCAAGTCCGAATAAAACTTCACGGTCTTATGGCAGCTACTACAGAACAGTGCCGACGGCTGAGTTAGCGCCCAGAGTGTGACGACATATGTCTGTGGCACCAACACTCTGAGAAGGATGCTCGCCCAAGTAGGTCAGTACGGCACACTTTGTTTCGCACCAAAAAGGACACGCCCCGGCTTCCCTCATTGCTTTACACGGCCTCTGAGATCCAGGGTGTTTGGCACCAAGTCGGTTCTCAAGTTGCGACAGAATGCCACCGATGCGTCGGCATTCTTTAACGTACGTAGGGATTCACACGGAGGGGAGGGTAGGTATTGCCGGTACTCGCTAACAAGAAAAAGAAGCTCACATTCTGATATGAATATGAAGCTCTCAGATCTGAAAAACTGTAGCAGGCTCTCTTCTGCTTCTTCTTTGCGAGAGCCTTGTGTCGGCTAAACAGAGACTGTGTCATGCCCTTTCCCCTTCTGTCCGTGGATTTATGAATCCATGTATGTCGCGGTCGGAAGATCGCGGCTTGAAGTTCGAAGGTCCAGAAGCAAAGCTGAAGCTTAAACAAGCAACTTAATGTAGAGCATGATTTTTCTGATTACTGCATGAACCTTGGAGAACTACCAGAAGTCCTCGTCTGTCTCAGTCACCTGGGCTCGGAACCCCGTTTGCGGTTCGAGTTCAACCCACAGGGGGCCCTGAATATTTCGAGTTGGGTTATAATCACATACGGACTGGGGATACCATCACTAACCATTCAGACCCCGTTTCGAAAGCACAGAAAGTCAAGCTTCCACCGAACTCAAAGGGCAGTGGAATAGTCACCATATATACATATAAATGTGTGTGTACCAATGCAGAAATAACAGCAACCATGATCATGATACTGGTTACTAGCCATGCTGATGTCAAAACTCGTCTGCAGCTGTGGAGCCTTATGCCACACCTCGGGCCAACTCTGCCGAGCAATCAGAGACTGCCGTCCTTTTGGGTGCCAGGCGCCACGAAAAGAGCTCAGGGTCAAACTCTTCTTTTCGGGTATAGGATATCGGGTCCTGGTGACGTGCTGCTGTCGAGAAGCTCGCGGTTAATACGCTCTTAAAATCCTAGTTCGGGTTGTCCTACAATTGACGCTGGTTCTAACTTACTTACTAAGCCACAGAGAGAGCTCAGGGTTCAATGCTCCCAGTGCTCTGTACACCTTGATTTGTAGAGGCGATCGTGACGTAAGACGTCGTGGACTACTTCTCAGGACTCACGGCGACCTTGTCGAGTGTCTGCTTTGCAAGCAGACAGGAGTTGGGGTTCCAGGATTTCGACTCGCACACTCGCAGGCACGGGTTCAGGTATCGGTGCCTTCCAGTTTAGCTCTACTAGTAGCTGCTTCGGGAGTAAAGCAAGGCACTTAGATTGACTGAGCAAAAATCGTGAAATTACTTTCAATCCAAGGGTGCCACAGGCCCTGTTAGGTTCTTCGGATTCTGGGCTACCTCACAAGCGCGGCCGGCACATCCCACCACAGGGGCCTAACGAGTTTCAAACAAACGGGGTTCCGAGGTCTTAGTTATCCTGATCTCTATCCTGAACTCACAAGTGCAACGATGTCGCCGTGCTTCCAACTACTGAGCCTTCAATGTTCACCCGAAGCCCTCATTGCTGCTTCAGCTCCCTCAGATCCATGAAGCAAAACCTCCAGTCTAAACTCCTGGACCCTGATACTGGGTTCTTTCTGAGGATCCCAGGCATAGACAACCCTTGCGCGGTTCCGGCCTCTGGATTTGGCCGCTTGGTTGGGCCAGCGAGTGATTCGGATGATGTTCGAGTCGCACACCTCCAACAACACGCTTTTCGAAACCAGGCCTGCTGGATTCAATTAAGTACAGTCCTCAGGCTTCTTGCTGAGGATCTGCAAAAGCATGGTCAGCAGCCCGCCGCTCTAAACAAGCCCTAAGCCCTCAAAGCCATTTAGCCTTCTTGCAACAAAAGCCCCAGATCTCAAAACCCCGCCGGTCCTTGCTACTTCTGTTCAAGAAACCTCCGCCTCAATGGTATAGTATACTTGTGAAAAGCAGCGCTAGCAAAGTATATTGGTAATCAGTGCGGTAAGCCTCAGTGGTAAGCCTCAGAAAGCCGTCTACGGAAGAAGCACTGCTAAGTATTCCGACCTGCATCTATCTTAACTTAACCTGACAGAACCTACCTTTTTGTAAGGTCCTTGTAAATTCCATATCAGGGTTTGTACGAAGAACCTACAAAAAATTAGATTTTGGTGAGTTGAGGCATGCATCTATCGTAGGGGCCTCAATAAGTAGAATAGGGTTTGGGCTATATTAAACTGTAATTTTAATAAGGGCCCCCACTTCCCCCCAAAAAAGACCCTATTAAACTTATCAAAGCGCCTACATTAGACGAAGGCCCTCGGCTGCCTGGATCTCACCTAGGTCGCCCAGAGGGACGGTAGCCGGCGGCCCGGCAAGAGCCCGCAGAAGCAACCTCAGGTCTATCTTCGCAGTAGGGATCGGATGTGTATAAGGGGCTTAGAAGTTTTGGAAAGGATGAAAAAAACGGTTTTGGGGGAGCTCCAGGGGTAGGGTTCTACTCCAGGGCTCTCTTTTCGGGGACCCTAATCAAGTACCCTAAGTAGTAGGATCCTTATTACAAGGATCCCAAGATATGGTACCCCTGATTCCCCGAAACTTCCATACGGGCTCGGCTTCGGATGCTCTGGGACGGGACACTGCAAGAGCCTTTCGTGCGCCTGTGGGGGTTCTGGCTTTTGGGCTCTCGGATCAAATCTGTCCGACATCAGGGATTAGGGACTTCGGACTCTTGTATGCCTTGCTTTGGGTTCAACATGGGACCAAGAGCTTGCCGGTTCACCCTGCCAGTCAGGGAAGATGGGAAGGCGTTGACGATAGCCTTTCATCAGGTTTTGCGCCGTCTTGAGCTGAGGGTGCCTCAAGAATAGGTCACAATTAGGGTTTGGGGCTAGCAGTTAGCAGTTGGGAATCATCTTGGGCTCTCGCACTTACGGAGGTACAGGAGCAGGGCTCTGGAGTTTGCTCGTTCCGGGCACAGACAGCTTGCAATAATGGCGCCTGTACTTGGGGGTCACCAGTCGTGGCGCCCGCGCCCCTTCTTTAACGAATCTCCCAAGACTCTCCAAGACAGTCCCAGGAACCTCAAGAGCAGCCATGCTCGGCAGAACCGCATTTTCGTGGCTCCAAGACTGCGCAGCGTCCCGTCGCGGCTTGGACCATGGAAGCTGCGGGAAGGTGCGGCTGGATATCTGGAGCCACAGAGTTGGAAAACATGTGGGTTTAGGATTTAAGAGCCTAAACCACCGACATGACCCTAAACGTTCATCGGGTAGTGATTTCGGGTGATGTGCAGCTAAATACTTGAATACTGTAAATCCGAAAGCGGAAGGATTCGGATTTCCGACTTGCTTTTTATGCTGCAGAGAAACAACCTTCGTGCTCTACGCTCAGCGTCAACAACGACAGGAAGTATACCCGGGCCATTCCCGGCATCCTAGACGAACAATGCTGTGGCAACGTTGCCCCAACCGTATAGTATGATTCAATAACGGTCTTCCAAATTAACAAGGACGGCAAGATGCTGCTGGCAAAAACTCCCTGCCTTGAGTCGAGTGATGAGGAAGTGGATGGATCGCCTCAGCGGCTTCGGATCACCTGCGGCCCCTGCAACTCTTCGAACGCCTTGAGACTCTGCTATTTATCCGGGGCCGAAGGCTACGAGCAGCAGCACAGTGCAATGATACCGCAACGCAACCCAAACCATAGATGCGACAGAGAACACAAGACTTCACACTTGCAAGCAAAGCGACGACCGTCAACCCTGAACTTCAAGAGGGGTACAAAACAAGCGTCAGAACCCTCAAGAGAACACGATACAGTAACGTCTCAAAAATTTGGAGTCCTACTCAAAAACACACCCTGGCACCCCAAAAAACTTTCGGAAACACAACTACCTACACTATTTTGGGGCTCCTTACTATAACTATAACTCTAGTATAATGGGCCCCAAAACGCTATTGTAATTGGGCTTGGGCGACTCCGGGAGCTCGCTGCGTTTCTTCCAGAGCTCCGGCCCCCCGAGTGCATCCATGGCCATCGTCCTCAAAAAGGGCCAAAAAGGCGCTTTTTGGAGAGGGCCGTTTGGTCTGTTTTCTTTTCGGCTTGGATGGGGGTGCAGACACCCCCAACGGGCGCCTGTAGTGAAAAGTTAAGAAAGGCTTGAACCACGGTCAAATTCGGCTGCCCCGGCGGTTTGTGGACTTGTCTGTTGCTGCTATCTCCTGCTAACCGTGATCTCGGAGTTTCCTGCTTTTCGAGGTTTCCGAGGATGTTCTTGCTCAATCGGCATCCGCTGCTTCCTCCCGAGGTCCAAAAGCCATCTTAATTACGGGACCCAGGCTTCGGTGCACAGTGATAATTGAAACAAGAGAGATGTCAGGGATTTGGGGATTTAGGCTGTAGGGCTTCCGGATTAAGGTCTCCTGGGATTTGGAAATGCCGTCCGCATGGCACCTTCAATGTGTGATATGTGTGATTTTGTTTCAACCTGCAGCTGTAAGTTGAGGCGATGCGAAAGCTGAGCCCTACATCCACCCACCCTAGACCCTCAATCCTGAACGCTCGACCCCTGCGTGGCTTTTCACCTTAAGGGCTCTGACTCAATCGCCCAAAGGTCGATTTCAGGTAGGATGCAGGGTTCCTTCCGCTACTCCAATGCCGACAACCAAAAAGAGGCCGAACTCCATTCCCGAAGCCCTACCCCGACAAACTCGAAAGAGTTTGTTTGGGGTGACCTGAAAACAGTTCAGACCCAAAGTTTCAGTTCACTGAACCCTACAACCCTGGACCCTGAACACCATTAGCAATAAAACCCTGAAGGCTAAAACACGAACTCCTAATACCTGAATCCGATGCGCCGAGCCAAACACACCCCTGCAGACCACGCCACCCAAGCATGGAAAAGGCGGTCTGCAGGTCCTTTCTTCAGAAAGATTGGGGTACAGGGTTTTCGCTCTCAACGGATTCGGGTTTGGGGCTTGAGGGCTTCAAGCTGCGCACAACCTGCACAGCTTCAGGGCTGTCGAGGGCATGAGAAAGTTTGGCGCAGCTTTTAGCAGGGCTTCATTTCATACCGCACTGAGAGATGACTTAGCTTTCGCGGGGTTTGGGCTTTCCTATTCCTTGTTGCTCACCACGGACGATTCGATCGCCCGAGACTCGGCCAGCGGTGCAAGTGCACCGCAACGTGCCCTCAAACACATGGTTGACCTTTGGGAACGAAGCCTCCGAATACGATTCTCGAGTAGGATCCTGTTTACAAGCGTAGATCTAAACAGTGAAAGATCGCCTAGCAGTCCAAGCCTTAAAAAGCAAAGAGCCGTCCAAGGAGCGCAAGACCACCCCAGACTCATGACTCCAGGAGGCGGAGACGTGTGGGAATGCGACGGCAACATGTTTTGTAGGCGCAAGACGAAGCGTATTCAAACTACGCACCGCGGTGGCGGTGCGTTGGGCAATTTCGTGCTTGAGGCCGTGGCGTGAAGACATGCGCGCCTCGAAACACGCCGTCCCGGCACGGGCGGGAACACGATTTCGAACTTCGCTCCGAAACTCTAACTTAAGAACCAAGGAGTACGAGGTTGGACATAGCTCTTTTTCCAAGTGAGGGTGATGCTCCCCGTATGTAAGCATGGCTTCGCTCCTCGCAAAGGTGCTTTTTGCCCTCGAACTAGGTTCTCTGGAGGAGATAGGGTTCGAGAAGTTTTCTCGCCCGCGAGTGCGATTGGCTAGACCAAAATTTACGATTTGCATTTACCCATTGCAAGAATCTCAATAATTCAGGCTTTATCGTTCGCTGTTAGCCATTCATGCTATCTTCAAAACAGGGAAGTATGTGAAAGCAAAAAGAAATCAAGGAACTCGATGGGATTATGGAAATTATTATCAGTCTTTTTGTCTCTCTCTCCCTCTCTCTCTCTGTCTCTGAGTTGCTACGACGGCTCCTTGCTCTTCAAGACCTTGCTGCCCTCGTTGGCCGCCTCGAGCATGCGGGAGGCCACCAGATGGAGCAGCCTTAAGTGCCACAGATTTCGCTTTCGTGTAAGGGTTACCTACAAGGATTTCCATAAGGGTCCCTACAAGGGTGCTTTGAAGGGTTCCTTCAAGGGTCATTTAGAAGAGCCAGTCTTTGCGGGCTGAAACCCGCGACATGCCCCTTTGAGGGTCCCAAGACACGAATCCGCCCCACCCCCGCGCCCGCCCCATTGTAAACGATACAGGGCCCAGACAGGCTGAGGATGAAATCAAGGATGGAGTGCTGTTGCCGGGGGGCACGGAGCTTTGCACAAAACGAGATTTCTCCCTCTCTCTCTCTCTGCATATACTTGCATACATATGCATACACATTTGTGTATGTGTAAATACATATATACCTCTTCAAGTGTATCTTCGATGGAAGCAAAGAATCCATCCACTATGGGAAGTCTGGCTTTGGCTCCATTATCGTTTAGATTTTTCTGTTAAACGACCCTTTTCCGTCTGCAAGCTCCGGGAAGCAGATTTTCAACTGGGCGCAGAGGTTTAGAGCTCGGGGGTTAAGGTCAACTATAGTATGAATAAATTAAGGACCCTGTAGGATATAATATGAGTCCTCGAACAAGCTTCTATCGTATGCAAGCACGAGCATACGCAGGCTCTTGAGGCTAAGGGCTCAACTATGAGGCTACACAGATGGCAATCACAAAGCCAACGCTGTTGCTTCCATGGAAACCACATCCCAAACCCGAAACTCTACACCCATGTGCTATGCGCAGCTCTGAGGGCCTGGGTCCCCTGGGCCTTCTGCAATGGTGTCCCCTTGCCCTGGTTTCCATACCCCTGCCTGTTCTGTCTATCCGAGTTCAGCTATGTCAGCTTAGTTAGATGGGGCTCAGACTTGGATGCAAATACTCACACCATACATATATATGTATGTTTCTACATATATCTACATACTCTCTCTTTGCATTTGTTACTCTCTGGTTTCAAAGGCTCGCGCATCTCAGCCTAGCGGCGTCGGATCTTGCTTGTCGTGGGCATAGGGGCAGTCCCTGCGACATGACATTTAGGATTCAAGGCTTCAGGTGAGGCTTCAAGCTTCTGAAAGCTAAAGCCCTAATTCTAAACCATAAGTGCAAAAACCCCAAGCCTATTAAAAGGCTACAGCCCCCTAGTGGCAAGCCTTGATTCCTACACGAAGGGCAGAAGCCAAGCTCTGCACACTCCACAAAGTATCGACATACATACATGAACACCTATAGCCTCGCATCACATCTACAGCCTGCACACCTACATACTTACATGCATGCATGCATGCAAGCTTTTGTATGTGTACATAATATATATATATATATATATATATATGTGTATACACATATTTATGCCTATGTCTGTCTATATACGTTTGGTATAAACAGGTAAATATATGTATATGTGGGTATGTGTGTCTACGTATTTCCAGACTTGTAACCAAGCATGCCTGTTTGCATTGATCGACTAGATGAGGTTAACCTGGATTGCGTTTTAATGGATTTAGGTTTGGCTAGATTTGTGGTTTTAGTTTGAGTCAACTTTTGAATGTAGACGTAGACTAGACTAGGCTAGAGTAGCTGAGACTGGATTATACAAACTTCCCGACTCTTGACACTCCGGGGAGAGGTCTAGAAAGCCTCTTTAAGCCCCCCGTTTTGTCCAACGCTCCCTTGCCACCACTGGTAGTCAATTCTGCTCAGGCTCTGAGAATTAACCCGCGAACCGGGTGTCTGCATCGAAAATCCTCGTGAGCCCGACCGCCCAACGGAAGCGCAATCTGAGATGTTGGCTTCGCTCGGCAGCTGTGGCTGGTGGCCAAAGACCAGCATGGCAACATCGAGGTTGCCAAGGCCTCCCACGCGCTTCCGAAAGCTTTGCGAGGATCCCGGAACGAGGAACAGTTGTTAATCGCGGGCTGCCGTGGGCTATGAGTTTTTTGTGAGGACCTGGGTTCTAACTGCTTCCAGGGTATAGGCGAATCAACAAGGCTTTCTGCAGGACCTAGTTAAAGGGTGCGGAGCACTGGATCTCAAGTCCGTGAGGACAGCTCCACATAACATCAGAGATTCCATAGAAAAGGAGGGGGGAGGGGAGAATTGGTATATACATACATATGTATATGTTTACTCATCAACACATGAATAAACAACCATACATATATACACATGCATATGTAGATGTAGATGTGTAGATGTATAGGTACATGTATACGTGTGCGTATCATATTTGTATGTATGTATGTATGTATATATATATATATATATATATATATATATGTGTGCAAGATGTCTCTCTGCGTGCGCATATATGTTCAGACATACAGAAAGCGTCGCACAGGAGGCCTGCTCCAGAAAGAGCCGCAACGTACATCAATCCATCCATCCGTCTGTCTGTCCGTCCATCCATGGCATGCACGGGTGCATACACATATGTATATACTGTATATATATATATATATATATATATCTATACACACACAGATGCATGTATGGTTGTATGTAGCTATGTGAGCATATATATATATATATATGTATGTATGTGTGTATGCATGTATGTATTGTATGGTACCCCCCCCCCCCCCCACCCATGTACCCATGCCTTTCTTCAAAATCCCAGTTTGCGGAAGGTGTGGGTCCGCGGGATCCCCTTCGTCCCCCAGCATTTCTCCTAAATCTCAGGTTCAGGATGGCGTGGGAGTTTGGGATTGGGGGCAGTGCCTGCAGATTGTACTTTATTATTTCATGTCATTGGCGGGTTCCCTCCAAAATAGCCCCGAATCATCCGAATCATTTTGATTCGGTCCCGGCGTTGGATCCAAGATCCAAGATTGCCCAGAGGTCTTGCGCGGGCAATCTTGGATCCGATACTCATCCGAATAATTTTGATTCGGGCCCGGGCCCGGATCCAAGATCCAAGGTTGCCCAGGGGTCTTGCCAGGGAATCTTCGATCCGGCGCTCACCCTTGGCAAGACCCCTGGGCCATCTTGGATCTTGGATCCGGGCCCGAATCAAAACGATTCGGAAATGATTCGGATGATTCGGATGAGGGTCGGATCCAGGATTGCCCGCGCAAGACCTCTGTGCAGTCTTGGATCTTGGATGCGGGCCCGAATCAAAAAAATGATTCGGATGATTCGGTTTCCCTCCTTCTTGTTCGGCATGTGTACTGTCTTGACAGTTATAACATCTGGTTTGTCATGAAGTATGCCAGTCATTCTTCAGTCAATACTGTGTTTGTTGCTTCAGGAGATGTAAGTCCAGCACGATTCTGAGTACCGTTTTTATCATTTACACGTACGTTAGCGTAATCCTCCATGATTTAGCCCATTGGACAGTAATCTGTTCAATCAACTTCATCGTCATTGCAGTTATCCTACCGTCAACACCAAATTGCACATCTTATGTTCTAGACTTATTTCCCGGCTCCCCTTCGCCTTCTATTGTCATGTTGGTTATATGCAATGTCTGGTCTTTTGTGAAGTATGCCAGTCATTTACGTTACCATACAGCTGTGACTACCGTGATTCATCCCGTCATTTCTGTTTTACTGTTTGGACATGTAGACTAGCACAGCAATTCCATTCCAGCGGCGTCGTACAACTAGGAAAACTGAAGCTCATATTGATAGAACTGTTGATACCCTTGTGACGTGTGCAAAAATGTTGATGAAATTCAGTTGGCCTAACCACTAGTTTTATAGTTGGACGGATTGGCCGGATTCATTTGTTGGGCACACATATGACATATGTGCTCTTGCGATGTGATTACATATGCTGCTGCATGTTTTGTGAACATGTTCATGAAATTAATCCTTCCATGCTGTACAAGACTAGGCATGAATCTCTGCCTGAAGACGGTACTGTAAGAAGACCACTTAATTGTTCGTCTTCGTCCGTTACCGTGTACGGAACTTGACGTACCGTCTACTCTTGTCTAGGACTGAAGCCTTTACTAAGGGAAATTTAGTGTTATATGGAAAATGTATTGGCTTCGCTTACACTTTTCTAAAGGTACATGTATAACGTGTGTTGCTTCATGCTTGGATGGGGGGTGTCTCTAGGTGGTGCACTTTCATTTTTGTACGTCTTTAACTGCTGCATACAGTAAAGAGCACTACCCAGTACCGTCACCACAAAACTCTGACATACAGGAGTCTTTACTGGTCATCATGCATTAGGTGCGAGACATGTAAAGGACTCTGTAAGAACACAAGCTCCAGCTCGATAGGATGGACATGATTCAGATGATGCATAGGCTAAAGATGACCTAAGCTCAGAATAAACATGTAAACCTTACAGTTCATATCAATACAAGACTGCGACAACAACACACTTATCTGGTCAGTACCAATAACAATGTAGCTTAATCGAAGAGGAGTAGAATGGAGTAGAAAGTTCAATACGCAGCCAAAACATGTTGAATTATCGTCGGTCTTCGCCTCTTTCAGCTGGCTTCTAGGAACAAATATGTCGGCAGAATAAGCCATAATTTTACTGAGATGTTTTGCGTATGTTGGCAAATCGTGCAAGCACAGGTGCAAATGTTCGAAAAGTAACAGCTCGTAGGCTTATACTTTATCAAAATGTGAATAAACGTAGGATTCAACAACCAATACATTTACTTTTACAGGTCGGGCAAGTATAAAACAGGGTGAACAATAGCCACGGGACTAGCGTACCCAGGAAAGTTGTTTTTTCAGACATACCAAGACAGGGGGAAAGAAAGAGTGTTGGCTGGGTTACGTACCTAGGAAAGTTTTTATTCAGACATAGTAAGACAAGTGGAAATAAAGGGTGTTAGCTGGGTTGGTATTACTGAACCAACCAGAACGGTGGGTATTACCATAGTAGTAAAGACACTGGTCACAGGAAGAGCATCATTGGTAGCTTTAACAGTGAAACTACACTTGGCGCTGGCATAGAAGAACATATTAGTAGTTTGGTCTACTTCCCATATAACCAAGAACAGTGGAGATTGGAAAGGTTTGTATTGCCACGACGACGATCCCGCACAGTTCAAGCGCAAAACGTGGGTACATGAGGTGGGTAGCATATATATATATATATATGTATATATTCATGTATAGACACACACACACACACACACACATCCAGGCGTGTATCTGCGTGGGTGGGTGCCTTCCCCTATCATCATGATGAGGGGTGTGGGGAGGAAGAAAAAAAGAGACCGACAAACAGAGAGGCAGGAAAACACATCTCTCTCTCTCTCTCTGCAAGGAAACACATGTGTATGCACATTTCATCATAATTTCGGCCCGCAGAGCTCTGCAGCCCCACAAGTCAAACAGCGACATGAAGAGCCCCTGCCTGACAAACCTCGAGGCAGACCCAGCAAAGGCTTGCCTTCGACTCCACTCAAGAGCTGTGGCTTTGGGTTTCCGGGCAGTTGCATCATTCAGGCAAATGCGAATCAAAGCCTTTGGGGGATGGACCCAATCCGCACCCGCGTGTTTTATTCTTGCAAGCATCTCGCAGTGTAAGGTTAACGCTTCAGCAACTTTGCAACTTCCCAACAGCCTTCTAGGCCTTCTGAAGCAGCAGAGCATCCGAAACTCGAGGAGGGAAGGCACGGATCACGGCGTAGTAATCACTTTATCCAGTCAACTAGCTTTTGCAGTATTCCGGAGTCCAGGTGATGAGGCCTTCGCAGAATGTTGAGAAAGCCGCTCCACTGCCACGCCTCCTACAACCCCAGGCCCGAAACGAGGCCTGCTCAGAGTCCTCCCGAAAAGACCCAAAACCCAAATCCATAAACCCGAAGCAAGGCCCTAAGCCCAAAACCCTAACCCCTAAGCCCAAGGCCTCAAGGCCCCTAAACCCCAAAGCCCCAAAACCCTCGAAACTCCTTCCGACGGACGCGAGGCTTCCGGCTGAGGCCTCCAGCACGTGGGACCAATGCAGCGCAAGAGTTCTCAGGTCTTTTCCAGTGACTTTCCGTGGATCGCTGCCTCGAAGGCTCCAGATTCCCCCCCCAACTTATCGTTTCTTTAAGGAACTTAGTTTAAGTTACCATAATAGGGTGCTGTAAGCGTTCCTTCAAGGGATCTATACGGTTGTTTTAAGGGTTAAGGAGTTTGCTTTAAGCAACCAGAGTCAGGAGCTATACTTCCTGATATGGCTTCCTTCTTATGATACTTTACATTAAACCAGGTGGTTTTAGGGTTGAGGGCTTAGAACCAGCACGTGAAACGGTGCCACTGTGTTCACGTACCCTCTCTACACATAAATGCATACATGCACGCTGAAATGTGTACCTGCACGTATCACTGTACACATGCATATGTGCTTGCACATCGGTATGATGAAGTTCCCATCCCCTCATGGATGCATGTTTCAGGTCAAAAGAACACCGCAAAGCTTTGTAAAGGCCGGCTTGATCACCAACGATGGGATGAATGCAGTGTTCGTGCCGACACATTGCCGTAGCCCTTAACAGAAGCGCCCATCAAGCGACAAGAGCACAAGGACCACGAAAGATCTTAATGGCTGAATGCTTACTCCAGGAAGCCTCAGAAAGTGTACACCTGACCCTCCATGCCGAACGTTCCACGCCTGAAGCCTTCAACTTCGAAAACCCAGTGCTCCTGAAGCCACGATACCCTTTTCAACCACCGACTCTGCACCTCAAGCCCTCAACTTCGAGTGGCTTCTCGGGGCGTGGAGTTGTTGTGGGCTCCCTAAAACCCAAGCATCAAAGGCCTGATTGCGGCTGGCAGTCGGTGAGCAGAAGGAACTTCTGCCTACACAGGAGACGACCCCATCACCCCAAGGCACTCATCGTTGGACTTCTTGGGCTCGCAGGGTTTTAGAGGTAACAGGCCTGGACCTAGCGAACGAAGCTCAGTAGGTGAGGTCCCTGCCGGATCTGTACGCTTTCGAAACCCGGACAAGGCTTTTTTCCCTCCTACTTGGCAAGGACAAAGCCCGCATTGCAGGGTACTTGGTTGAACAGTTGTCGGAGCAGAAATTTCAAGCCCTGGTTAGTAGGGGCGTAGGGTTTCGGTGACCAGGTGACGCAGGGGTTCAGGGTTTGCGGCTTTAGGATTGTAGCTTGTTGGATTGCAGGGTGTAGGATTGGAAATGATTTCCTGGTAGTAAATTTGAAGCGATTTTTCGAAAGAACATTTCGGCGCTCAATCTTGGTGCAGGTAGACTCGATAGACAAGGTCTTTCAGAATGTTACGCGCAGAGGCGCCTGATAAGATCCAACTCTACGCAACTACATTCTAAGAGTTACCCAACTGTTACAGACTGGGGGGCAGCACCCAGCCTGATCCAATAGTACTAGTAATAATCGCAGTAATAGCAATAGTACTAGCAGTCATCATCATGATCATACTAGTTAGAATAAGAATAACAGTCGCAGCATCGGGGCGAGGTGCCCAAGAGGTTGCTCAGCCAGGAGCCACTCCTTTCGCAACTTCTCCGCTTGGGTCCTCCGAAGAAGCTCTTGATCTAACACGGGGGCCGTAATCACTTAAATAGGGCTTTGTGGTGTAAAACTTATACTGTAGACTTTGAGGGTTTGAAATCACTTTAAGGACCTTAATCAGTAGAATAGGGTTCGACATGTTACACTAGAATGGGGTTTGGGGGTGTATTCCGCTAGACTGGGACTTGGGAATATCTTGCGCTAGAATGGAGTTTGGGGGCTCATTGCATTAGACTGGGATTTGGGGGTATGTTACATTATAGGTATGTGAAGACTTTAAGGGATAGTATTTTCAGTGGCTCATACAGGCTTGCAGACCCGGACGAGAGTTGTGGGATTAGTAGCACGATTTCCTGTGAACACTATGCTGCTTCTGCTTCGCTGTAGTTGGTCTCGACTTAAAGGCAATCTATGGCAGTTCAGAAGGCTTCCTGGCGCTCTCAGGGCCTTGCATTCTGCTTTGTTACAGTTTGTCAACGCAGACAAGGGGCCGAGGGAGTGCACAAAACAGAAGCACGGGCAACGCGTAAGCCCTAAACTTTGCTGCTTTACTATCTTGTACCAGCAGCAGTCCAATTCGAGAAGGTTGTTTCATCAGCTAACCAACCACCTTTTCCATGTTGCCTCACCTTCAGCGCATTCCAAGAAAAGCAGCGTCACAGCAACAGTAGGCACCAACAGACAACCAGTATTGGTTCTGTCAACCAGACTCGATACATGAACGGGTTCAAGACTCGGCATCATATGGTGACGCTGAGTGCAGGGAGACTCACGGGGTTCACGCCGTCCTGGCCATCTTGTCATTCCGCATGGCACGCAGCCGCTTTCTGCAAGCGCCAAAGCCCCGCCAAATCGCCTCAGGCTTCAACTGCTTTCGGGCGCTCATCGCAGGTGCCTGATATCTTGAGACCTGAAACCTTAGGCCTTAGGCCCCACATCCTGCAACCCATAAGGCCTCAATGTATGCGCAACAACGACTCCGAGTCATGAAGTTGCAGCTTTCTCCTGGCTTTAATAGACCCGAATCAGGCTGCACCTCCGCACAACTACCACCGCTCCGCAGATACCAGAAACCCTACAACAAAAGTATCGAGACCTTTGCAGCATCAACCCACTCAGAGTTGTTGACAGGGTTTAGTATAGATCATGGATCGGTGCAGCTGTGGGACATCGAATCGCTTCCGACGTCCATCACCTGCACCGCGAGACGTGAGTACTGTATTCTGAATCAAGCTGATCTCAGTGGCTGTGAGAAATCTTTCTAGATGGTAGGCGTTGAGAGTGTCTCCTAGCTTGCCAAGCAGGGAAGAACCTCCAAGCACTCTCCTAAATCCGCTATGTCCGAGACCCTATCATCGGTCCATGTAAGGAGTAATGTAGGAACATGATTAAGTAACCTTGGGCCTTTATTCGGGTTCTTTATATGAATCCTTGTCTTGGGGGTTATAGGCCCAGGGTTTCTTAATCAGGTTGCTACATGATCCTAGAATTCTGGGATCTAGTCCATATAGGAACCTGTCTTCAACTTAGGGTACCCCCCTTGGGGAGCCCGTATGTTGGTATCCAGGATCCAATGATTGTGGAGGGTGTATTTTGGGGTACTTTTTTTTGCATTGCAGCGTTAGACTCGGACTTGCCTACAATAAGGAGAAGACTCCTCAAAACCGTGTGCCGTCACATGGTCCAGTGTGTGTCGCGGCGGATTTGGTGTGCGTGTGTTGATGGGCTTTCTCGCGTGCTGGCATTCATGTCGTACATCTTTCAGGTGAGAAAATGCGGGTCCGTACATCTTCGTCAGGTGAGAAAATGCGGGTCCTACATGGCTTATTCCTGATGCTCTGAGAACTTTCTCCGGATTCTGCAAACTGAGCTCGCCGGCGGCACTTTCTGCATGGCTTCTGCTCTTATGTGTTGATGTGGGGTTGGTGGGACCTTCAGCTCATACCCCAAGACATACGCAGAAGATGCCAGGAATAGCCACCGTCGGCAGCCGGCTTTATGCAGCACAGGGCAAGGCAAACAGCTAAGGTCAGCTAGCAGGCTTTGCCACTCATGCGCTGCAACTTCTCTTGAGAAGATTCCACCCGGAACCCCAAAACCATCAACCCCTAAATCTCCAAACCCTGAAGAAGTAGATCCTAGTTGTTGCATGTGCTCATGGGGCTCTTGGAAAGGACCTTTGGAGAAGTATCCTTTGCCCCCCCCCCCGGTCGCGCTTCAAGCTGCTTATTAAAACCCGGGCTTTCAACATCAGAATAGGGTTCCGGAAGTTTTGGAGTAATGATTAGACCAGGGTCTTGGGGCATGTTATGCTAGACTATTGGTAAATAATCCGACCCCTCACCTATCGACGTTAACTTCCACATCGGCTAAGCTGTGATGTCAACTAACAAACTTGCCTAAGCAAGTCTGGTGTTCAACGTAAAAAGGGAGAACCTAGAAATCACAATGCCAAACCACCGCTGCATCTCAACCCGAAGGACCCCCTAGACCCTGACACCTTATACTAACTCCCAAACGGCCCTTCAAGCCACTGAAAGCTCTAACGCCCCAACACCCTCGCTCCCGCAGCTCCCCCACTCTCAGAAACAGGCCATATGGGAGTTTCCGAAAAAAGGGGACCCTAACCAAAATAGTAGGATCCTTCCTATAAGAACCCCAAAATCCGCTACCCCTAATTTTCGGAAACTCCCATATAATATAGGAGCCTAAACAATTACCAATACTATTTTTTGGGTTCCTCGGCATAAGTATAGTATGGTGGGCCATATCCGAACACCACTTTGGAGCTCTCCCGATCCACCGAGGCGCTCTCCGGAAAGAGCTGGAAATCTCGGGCCAATGCCAAAACCTGCCGGGGTTCGGTCTTCGGTAGCATAGGGGCCCTTAAGGATAAGAATAATATAAGAAAACCTTGGGCCTCTATTAGGGTTCTTTGTATGAGCCCTACTATTTTGAGGTTATAGGCCCAGGGTTTCTTAATCAGGTTGCTACATCAGGTAATGAAGACTTTAAGGGACTAGTACTTCGAATCACTATAGGTGCCTAAATCATTAGAATAGCGTTTTTGGCTTTGGGTTAGGTTCCACTGTGCGCACAATGCGTGTTACCTACAGTCTACGGAATCTGAAGTACAGGAGGGGTTTTGGGGTTTAGGGTTCAATATTACTAGCAGTTTCTGAAACCCTCCTCCTACTCCTACGCCTCTTTCGTCTGGTGTAAACGATACCCTGAAAGGAACGAGGAAGCCCATAGCCAAGAGCTCCAAAACTGGTTGAGGCCTTGCCAAGTATGCCAAAGCATACGTTGATGCTTGTTGGCATGGCTGCCTGTCTTTGTTGCTGTTGCTGAAACCTGGAACCCAGCATTCCGGAACACGGAAACCCAGTCGTCGTGGTAGGCACTTGCTTGGGCTTGCGGGTTGTTTCGGATTTGGGATTTGGGGCTTCGGGTTCGCTGTTCTGGCCTGGGCCGGGCTGCAACTAACCCTGAACCCCTAAATCCAGACCCTGAACCTCTAAACAGCACCGGCAAAGACCCAAGCCCTGAATCCTCTTTTGCACCCGTTCTGTCAATGCAGCCCGGGCACTGCCAGTGATTCGATTCGAAGAGCGTATCCTGCCCAAGCCCACTAGGCTTCGGCGAGTCCAGGCGTTTAGGGTAGTTAGACGTAGTTTTTTTCGTGTGATCCAGGGGTTTGGGGTTTAGCGTTTTGGTCAGTGCCACTGCTAGTATTGCTGCTGCGTTCAACAGTTTGCTCACAATTGAAAGTACGTGTGCCACCATGATTGTTTCTGTCACCGTCGGTTTATTAGGACTGTGAGAATGACCGACCTGGGTTGCATACTGATTTCGTTGGTGTTTTAAGCTGCATGTAGCAGGCTGGATCCCGAAGCCACCCAACATTGAGCTAAGAGTTGAGGCCTGGGTCTAATTATTGAAGCCCTACAGTACACGGGTTGGAGATTTTGCTAGGGCTTGGGTTTGGACTTGTCTTGTTGTTCGGAAAGCGGGGAGTTGCAACTCCACACTCAAAAGAGAGAAGCAACCTACAAACACTCAATGCTTCGGTGTGCACAACACCCCAGTGCCGTTGGTGAGTTTTTGACAGACTTGCGATACACATGGCCTGCTTTGAAGTTGAGTGCCCTTTCACTCACCACGCTTGCTCAATTGGAGGGATCCTGCGTTGTGCCTAAGGCAATGTCTAACCAGGCATTCTTCAGTGCAGCGGAGTGTGTGCATGAACACCTCTTGATAGCTGCCTGTAAACGGCTGCACGTAGGCTTTCAGTCAGTAATACTGTTGGATTTCAAAAGCCCTAAACCCTGAAAAACCCGAATTGCAAGGACACTTTGAGAACAAGGCCATTGATTCGCTAAGGCTTGCGAAATGTGTGCGATGTGCGAGGCCAGCTCCATGAAGGCCGCTCGCAAACCAAACCCCGCAGCCGCAAAAACCCTGAACCCCGAAGCCCCATAAACCCGGAACCCCGAAGCCCCATAAACCCTAAACCCTGGCCCAGGATCGCCTGGTGCTGTGTCCAGACCATTACCGCACTCCCCCACGACCTCGGCGAGTGGCCCGAAACCTGTGCTGATCAGTTCGGGTGGAGGAGGAGGCTATGTAAAAGTGTGCCCCCCTTTACACCCCAATTCGACCTTAATGGCCCCCCATTTCAAAGCCTTTATGAACCCAGTTCAACAACCCAAAGAAAGTGGTATTGGGTGAAGTGCTGAGGTGGCAGGCGGGATTCAACGACGGGTCTTCAAGGGAACAGTTGACCTCAAAGGCAAAGACAGTGAGTTTCCGCTGGGTTCGCTCATTATGAGCCCAGTTCCACTGGCTGCAAATGGAATTGCAGCTCCTGCTAGCTGTTGGAGCGCACCCCGCAGCTCACTCCAAGAAGCTGTCAAGGGCTTCAGGTAAATGGGTTTTGGGCTCTGGTTTTGGGCGGATTGGAGGTCTTGGCGGGGGATCAGGGACCAAACCTGTCGGCCCGAAAGAAGAAGCCTCATCAGAAGACCCCTCCCAAAAAGGGACCGCCAAAGGTCGGATCGGCACCGAGCCGATCCGCCCTTCAACTCATAATGACAGCTGGCCTTCACGCATGGTGGGCCCAAGGTAGATAGGATGTGATAGCCAACTCTTGATGTACGTATATTCGATTGCAGAAGTTTATGTGCGGGCTAGCAGGGCTTGGCAGTTTGCCTTGAAGCCCCTCTGTATCCCAATCCCCAATTCGTCAACCTTTACCCCAACCCCTACACCATTCAGGAAGGGCTCTCAGGTTTCACAACCTCCGTTCCTGCTTCGACTCGGCTACGAGCTTCAAAGTCTAGCCGAGGCGCGCTGAGAGGGCGGCACGGAGAAGGCCTTGACATGGGAATCTCAAGAGTGTAATTAAGAAGTCTGACTTGCTATTTAGTAACAGTATTCCTGTCGATAGCCCCTACATGATTGCACTCGAATAGAAGCCCTTTTACAAGTTAATACGGCAGCTTCTGTATGGCTTTGGGTTCAGGGAGTAGTGAACTTTTTTTAGAATTCCCAGGGGGCACAGGTCACATTGCCCAGGGATTCGGGACAGCAATATCAGGCGTTGTGATTTTAATGGAGCTGCGGGGTATATCATACTCTAGTCTAGTTCTGAGAAGGCTTCGATGTTGCATGTGTACTCTAAAGGCCTCAATACTTAGAATAGGTTTGGAGGTATATTATACTGTAATTATAATACGGAGCCCCAACATAGAATTGGTCACTTTTTGAGCCCCCTACATTAGATTGACTGCTTCGGGCTACTGGCTCGAGACAAGATCCGAGAAAAATGGGTGGTTGTCAAAATTATGGTCCCTTTGTGGGTTCTTAAATATAATACGGCACCTAATATTTAAGGTGCCCCCAAAAGGGACCCTAATTTTGACAACCACCCAAATGCAGGTGCCTTCAGCACTGGCAAAGGGTATCGGGATTCTAGCTGCTAAGGATCAGCATGGGCGTTTGTTTAGGCCCCTACATTAAGAGAGGCTCGGATGTTTGTGCAGGTTTGGCACGCCAGCAGGGTTGTAAGGCTTGAGGTTGTAGGATTCGAGCCCTGAAGCCCAAATCCAAGATTAAAAGCTTGATAGGTCTCATGGGTTCGGGTCAGGCTTAAACCCTAAACCCTAAACCCTAAACCCCGGGTTTTGTAGTGGTGCAGAAGCCGTCAATCCCACGCATGGAAAGCGAAGCCTCGAAACCCCGATCCATAAAGTGCTGACCCCTTCAAAGCTTTGCCTGTTAAGGGGTATGCAAGAGCAAAAGGAAGGACCCTTAATAAGGACCCTAGGTATATACTCCTAATATAGCTATTATATGCCCGTTGTATATCCCATTATAGGGTAGGGGTCCCCCTTAAGGGTCCCTCCTTTTCCCCTTTGAGGGTATGCTACACCAAAACTGAAAAGGACAATTGCCGAGCAGCATCATGCAGCCTGAGCATGGCCGTGCAAAGGCTTCGGTGAAGGTCCTGGCTTCGTTGGACGGGGCCATGATACAGGGGGCTTAAGACTTAAGAGTTACAATAGGGCTTGGGGACATATTCTAGTATGGTTGCAATAACGAACCAAACCAAGCCAGTATTTGTGCAGGTTTCCATATTCTCTCCTTCATGCCCATCTTTGTTACCAGGCCGCTTTTCAAGGGTGTGAGTGCTTGCAACACCACCTCCCTGGGCTCTCACCGCGGACTGGGCACCGACATCACCTCTGTCATTACCACCAGCTAAACCACAAACAGACACAGCATCACGAATGATGATGGTGGTGTCATCTTCATTAAGCCCTCAACAAAAACAGAGACACATCTCGACCAAGCCTGCTTGGATCCGGATTTGATCTTCCCGAACTCTGTCAGGACGTCCTGCGCGCAAGGCGCAGGGTTGGAGATTTGGAGGGTACTCTGTTGAAGAACCCCCCTGACAGCTTCTAAGAGGGCCTACAGCTGCCACTGGTAGCTAAGGACCCTTCTAAACCCTAAGAAAGCAAAGGCGCACAGGCCTTTTCGCTGGGCTCGATCACATGTGCCTTCGGCGGACTCGTCTGAAACACTCCAGCGACCTGTGCGAGCGACTTCAGGCTTACACTGGTTAAAATCTCTCTGTTCTTTCTAAGAAAAGTCCTCTTTTAAGAGGTAGCGTGATGCCCTCCTTGAGGGTTTTCCACCACACATCTGTACGCATGGGCTTTGTCAGGGGATCGGCTAGTTGGACCGCTGTAGGGATCCATTGGAGCGGCAAGCGGTCAGTCCACTGTTCAGCCCGCAACTCTTGACGTAGGGCCGCTAAGTCGATTGCGAGACGACGGTCTGCTGGGAGCCTTGGTGTTCCAGCCTTGTGAAGGTGGTCGTGAAGAGACTTGCAGTCGGACAAGCAGAGAATTGGCCACCGCTTACGGATCTCATGGTGCTTGACGATCCGTCCATGAAGTAGTGAGGCCAGAAGAGCCCTCATGTACTGTCCTCCTTCAAGTCCCTCCACCGCGGCCATTGTCTCCGCACCAAAAGTGGAACGGCACACTCGCTTGCATGACTGGCTCCTCCACTCGAGCAAACTCGTCCGGCAACAAGACCCATCGAGGATAGCCCGGTCGGCCAGTAAGATCAAGTGGCCCAACTGTGAAGCGACCTTGGAAGATCCCTTCTTAGCCTTCCTTGGCCTAGACTCGCTGTAGAAACCGCGTATGGTGCCCTGCTCGATCTCCTCGGCCGTGAGCTTGAACCCGTCCTCGGCCTCCTCGAGCTCGGCGTTGGCCCAGGCCGCATCGTGGTACACGAGGAACACCGCGTCCTCGAGTTTGGTAGGCCGCAGGTAGATCCCGTTCTCGCGGAACTCCTTGGCCCGGGCCGAGAGCTGGTTCACGAATCGAACATCCTCGGTAAGAGGGGCCCGTTGGAGCTGCTGTGACAATGCCACCCCACACGTCAGGTCTGGGCGGCTCTGGCTGCTTAGCCAACTCAAAGCACCGATCAAGGATCGGTTGTCGATGGCCTGTTCTTCAGTAGCTGGTTCTGTCCCCTTCTGCGAACGGGGGACCTCAACAGTGAACAAACGGCCATCCACAAAGCTCTCCTGGGTGATACTCACGCCATCGTCGTTCACCTGGATGAAGGACCCCACATACTCGAAACTGTCCTCGAGCCAGCCGTCGATCGGGAAAAGGCGCCCGATCCTCTCTTGGAGCATGCGGTTGACCTCGGTAGGGGCGACCACCAAAATGTCGTCGACGTGGAGGGCGAGGTATCCTGCTGGCTCAGAAGCTTCGCCATCCTTGATGAGCATCATCACGCAAGGATCCAAAGGGCTCGGCACGAGGCGGTGTCGGACTCCTCCGATGTCGAAGATCTCGCTAAGTAGAACGCCAGAAAGCCTGTCGTACCACATCCTCGGGCTCTCGGATAGGCCGAAGACTCCCTTCCTGATTCGAGCGAGCTGTCTTGGGTCCAGTCCAGAAATCCCGGACTTTGGCTGTGCCATCCACAACTGGCGCCCGAGTTCAACCCCTTGCAAGAAAGCAGCTTGAACATCTCCTGCAGCAGCCTTCCAGCGCTTGGAAGCGCATATCTGAAGCAAAGATATCAAGGATGCCCTTGACACCGTGGGAGAGTCGACCTCGATGTTGGCCACGCCCACATCGGGATCAAGATGTCCAGCCACGACCAGTCTTGATTTAGGCTTCCACTCCACAGTAGGGTCGGCGCGCCTGCGCCCGAGGTGCTTGTCCCTGTAGGCGAAACGTGAGCCGAGGATACGGCTCGCCGGTTCTTCGCGGCGGACTCGTTCGCTCTCCTCGACACTCAGGACTTCCAAGGCCCCAGTGTCCACATGTTCTCGCCACTGGACCATCTCCTTCTCCCGGAACTTCGGCCTCATAAACTCCGGGATGAGGGACCAAGGGATCTCCTTCTCTAGCTGCTTTTCCCGGGACCGCTGGGTGCGGGCTCGCTTGATCATGTTCACATCACTGGGCCCTTCGCGGGGTCCACCATCAACGGCCGCCTCCTCACCGCGCCCCTTGCGTCGCTGTCGCTTCAGGACACGAGGAGGCACACGAACAAGGTCACGTCGTAGCCCACGTCGTTCTTCTTCTCCGTCCAGCTCCATGTCATACACAATCTCGCCAACGCCAGCAGCCCCAGCGTTGAGCATCTCTTCGTCTCCTTGGTCCTCGTGATCCTCGTCGTAGGCGCCCGGCTCATCGGAGTCGGCATTCAACAACTTGTCCAAGTCTTCTTGCGCGACCTTCATGCTGAAGGCCTGACCAAGTTCCTCGCCGGTTGCAAGCCGAACATGCTCTGGAGCACATAGAACACATCTCCCGGCTCGGGTGATCCATAGGTTCGCGCCTTCTCGCCCGATGACAGTTCCAGGTCCGACCCAGTAGCCCTTCTTGTTGTTCTTCGTCTTGCGAAAGTAGAAGACCCTTTCCCCGGTTTCTGGCATTCGGCTTTCAACGCGGGCGCGCCCTGCAAGGGCGCGGCGAACCCTCTCATCGGTCTGGACATGGAAGTAGGCGGCCCGAGCGGCCGTTCGAAGTGCGACCTCACGGGCGTGCTTGTCGTCGATGATCGCCTCCTGTTCCGGGTGGTCAGCGTGGGGACCCTCAAGAAGATCTTCTGGGAGCCCCGGCATCGATCCAAACACATGCTGGCAAGGACTAAAACCGCTCGTCCGTGTCAGCTGGTTCTTTGCAGAAGAGACTGCGCTCACAGCGAGGTGGAAATCACTTTGGCATACAGATTGTTCCTCGCAGATCCGGCTGAAAAGGGACTTCCAGATAGCTCCTTGGCGTTCCGTGTAGCCAGCCTGGTGGTGGGCCTGTCCGGCCGCACTGCGAATGCGGGTCCCCGTCCAGTCGCCAATACGGGCCAGAGACTTCTCCAACCCGTTCTCCAAATCGACCGCAACCGTGGTCGGAGCCCCAAAGATCTGAACCCAACTCTCACAGAACGCCTTCTCGAGTGTAACGGTGTCCTTCCTCTGCACTGGCACAACGATGTGGTAGGCAGACGAGAAATCGACGATAGAGAGGAGCTGGTGTCGCCGGCCTTCGCTGTCGTGGACATAGAACAAATCCGTGCCGACCATCTCGTTGAACCGGTAGCAAGGGGCGATCTTAGCCGGTTTGGGGATAGCCGGCTGCTTGCTCCTTTGACAGACTTGGCACTCTAGGGCCTTAGCCCCTTTCAGAACTTCACGGGATGCCCCGGCCAGGCGTAGATGACGAACAAAATCGGCGGTGCTAGGGTGTCCAAGGTTCTGGTGTAGACGGCGCAGACTGGTCGCTATCGTCTCGGAGACGGTGGGCGGAAAACTGATTGCCCGGGCACCTCGTGGTAGGGGGCCCTCATCTTCAGCTCTGCGTTCTTCGCTTGGTGCAGGGAGCAACTCTTCCTCGCTCTCGTTGTCGCCGACGTACACAGAGTGGATCTCCCCCTCTGACTGGGCCTGGACAACCCGGATGTACTGATGGCCGTCCTCGGTGAAATCGTAGGTCACGTCGTAGCCCGCATCCTCCCAACCATTGGCTAAGCTCTCCCAAAGGAGAGGTTCTTCGACCTCCCTCTCCAGCACCACGGCTTGTCCCCTCCCCAGTTGGTAGCTGATCGCCTCGACCAAATCACGGAACACCGCGTCGCAGCCCCATTCGGGTAGCATATGAATCCAGAGCTGCCCGGGCCGGTGGCGGACGACCGCCGCCTCGATGTAGCCAATGCCCAGGTCCTCCGGGTGGTCGTTGGAAAGCACGTCCTCAGGGAGCAGGGGTTCCACGAGGTGGTCGCCGCAGATATCGTACTCAGCAAGCCGGCAGGTAGCAGAGAGTCCACCAACCTCAAGAATGGCGGTTGCAGGACTGACATGAGCTGGTAGTGCATCACGTACAACACCGCACATGGTCGAAATGGCCGTGGTGAACAAGACAGACAGCATCATGGCCGTTCGGCGGATGCCCTTCCGAACGCTCCGTTTTGGTCGCGAGCCTGAACCTCCTTCATGGGCGGTCTCCTTCTCCGGGATGTCGATCGCATAGTCGTCGCGCTTCTTGATCTCCCGGATCTCGGCCTTGGTGGGTACCGGGAACTTGAGGTCGTTCAGGATTTTCCTCTCGCTCTTGGAGGCTTCCGGAAAAGAGCGTGGGGTGTATCCCGCAAGAAACCAACGCTCGCCGTTGAAGGGCTCGGTGGCGTGGGCGAGCCGTGGATCGAACTCCCATCCTTGTTCGTGGGCGTCAACAATGCGCCCCTCGATCTCTTGGCCATTTCCACTGCGGCGCCAAGTTCCGCCGCCCTTTTCCTGGATCCAGACCCCTCCTCCATTGCCGCTGCCAAAACTGACCAGGTAGTTGAAGCTGCCCTTGAGGTTGTTCCGGTCCGTGTGGATCCCAGTAGGTATGTCGCCCAGTAGTGCAAGGGCCGCCCACGTGGCCCGGCCTTGACCATGACCGCTTTCCCCAACACAATCAGCGAGGAACTCGTTCAAGTAGGTGGTCAACTTGGGCCATTCGGTCGTGCGGCGGCCGACTCCCTTGAAGGTGCCGTAGGCGTAGTACCCGAGGTTGCACCGCTTCCCTTCCTCACTTTCGCCATGCAATCCAGCACGACGGTGGTTTGTGGGCTTGAGATTGTAGTTCGCAAGGACCTTGGAGACGGTAGCGAAAGTAAAATCCCGTTCATGAAGTGCAGCTCCGGCAGCGTCTTCTCCAGGATGGGCCTTAGGACCTCGAGAACCTCCGTGTCGCGTAGCAAGGATCCCATGGTTCGAGTCTTCCGAACCAGAAGAACACGATCTGAAAACCTCGCCGGATTCGTAGTGCATGTCGTGTGCCCCGAGTGGGGCGCCTTGGTCCTCATAGCCATCACCAGGGTTCAGCCCTGGTGCGGTGCCAAACCGCACCTGTCGCGTAGAGTGGCCAGGCGCGCCTCGAGTGCCTGGATCTCGTCCATCGTGGCCGGGTCGATCTCCTGCTCCATGCGCTCGGGGCCCTCCGAGTCCTTGGTCTTCGTCTTGGCTGAGCGGTGCTTCGGCTTGGCAGCTGGCACCGGTGTTTGGGCCTCCCTCCACAAGGCCGGACGGCCTCTCGCATGCGGGTTGTACCCCTCGGAGAACGCACTCTCGTAGTCCGCCACCATCGCCCAGGACGACGAACCCGTCTCGCTGATCGGCGGCGGGGGCACTGTCGCGTAGGTCTCCGCGTCGAGGTAGGTCGGCTCCATGGTGCTCGCCGCCGCAGCCGGGGTGTTCTGTCCCTTGGACCTGTGATGTCGCCGCCACATCACAAACCGCTTCAAGTCGTTGTGCATGTTGGTTCCATTCTGGCGTTCTTCCTCCGACGCCCAGTCTCCGTAGTTGTCCGGGATCTGGGCAAACGTCGTCCCTCGGAACCGACCAATGGTCATGACGGTATCCGCCGGGGCCGCTGCGTCCCTGATGCGCAGCATGAGACTCCCCTTTGTGTCCCCGGACTTCACGGTCAGCTCCATCTTGTGCGCCTCGGCCTTCAGCTCGTCCAGGTTCATGGACGACAAGCCCTTCGGCACCGCAACTCCCTTCCTCTTGGTCTCGTACTCCCGGTCCGCGATGAGGATCGTCCGAAGCTCTGGGCACGTCCACGCCTCGTTGAACGCCAGCTGCCGGCGCTTGCACTCGTCGATCAACTGGGCCTTTGTCATCTTCCATACTGGGAGCATGATCGACGGGACGCGGAGGGGCAACAGATTGAGCTCGATTGAACACACTGCGGCCAACCCACAAAGTTGGATACTCGCCAAGATCTTTGACAGCCCACTGCTCAGTCACTGTAGACAACATGCGTCGTGACATGCAACCGATGCCCCATGATTCCCTGACACTCCCAAGCTGACGCAGCAAAAGATCACGTAGGTGGGTTTGGCTTGTCTCCCATCTTCGAGGATCAAAGAACTTTCTTCGAGGAGTGATGTGGACCCGAACTAGTTTGTTGGGTAGCTCAATCCAAAAGTCGTTTACGAGTTCTGTGTTGGCCCACCATGTCACAAAGAGGTCCTCGTTAAGAACGTCACCCGTCAGCATGTCCCTAACAGCACCATCTATCTTCTTGTCGTAAAAGATCTTCGTCACCGCATCGACATCACCAGGATCCCTTTGATCATCGCCCAAAACATCCCCGCTGCAAGCAACCATGTACACCTCGCGAGGGCCGAGGATCGCGATTCCATGTGGCTCCCAGTTGTCAGGGAGCCTTGAAGTGTCCGGCTTAGCCAGCTTGGAGTGATCAACTACAACAGCAGGGTGCCCACTCGTAGTTTCCTCCAGTTCGACCTCGCCACCGTCGAGTGAGCGGAAGGTAGCAACGTTACTTCCGAGGTCCAAGACGAGGCCGAGTCGTGCCAAAGCCGGTCTCGAAAGAAGAAGGGGGATGTCCCCGTGGATCACCGAGGCCTTGATCGCGATGAGGTGGTCAAGAAGAGGTACGAGGATCACCGCGGCATAGGTGGACTCGTAGATCCGGCTGGCGGCCCCAAACTTGAAGCTCTCCTTCTCATAAACAAAGACCACATCGTAGCCGCTTCCCTTGACATAGTCCAGGTACTTCTGAAGCCACCCAGTCCCAACCACAGTCTTAGAGCAAGCGGAGTCCAGGATCGCCTTGAGGCCCTCGCGCGTGCCCGTGGTGAGCTCAAACACCTCGTTGGTGACGTGGATCGTCTGTGCCTTGGCGCCGGAGCCTTGGTTGCCATTGCCAGGGAACTTGGGGCAGATAGCATCTCTGTGCCAGTGGCCCCGCTGCCCACAAGCAGAGCAGTGGGACTTCGCTTTGGCCAACTGGATTTTGGCCTCGGCAGCCTTCCGGATGCCACCCGAGTCGGCCTCAGTGGCTCTGTAGTCAGTTCCCCGTGCCTTGGCAGACTCTTTGTAGCGGGCCTTTGCTGTCATGTAAGTGAGGTAGAGTTCTTCGGAGTTGCATTCGGGGTCATCGTGAAGAGGGGGCTCAACATCCGAAGCCTCGCAGCCATCCAGGTCGTCCGTCTGGTTGACACTCTGGGGCTTCCCACGGAAGCCTGCCTTCTCCCAGGGTTTTCGCATCGACCTGTCCAAGACGATAGCCGCAGACTGCAAGGCCTTGAGAGCGTACTTGTTACCTACACTCGCAAGCAAGCTGACCTCCGTGGCCTCGTCGAGGTTGGCCCTGTCCACGAAGAGCCAAGCGTTGGCCACATCAGGCAGAGCGCAACCGCACTCTATGACTCTCGCCAGCAAGCGGTTGAACTCCGCGGCATAGTCCCGGAAGCTCTGTTGAGGACGCCTGCGGAGCTTCCTGAACAAATCACTCAAGGAGCGTCCCACCTGTGTGACCTCCACGTCCAGGTAGTGTTGACGAATCCATTCTCGTAGACGGGCCACGCCTTCAGGATGGGCGAGATCCTCAACATTCAAAGACTCTGAGTTCACCCAAGCAGAACCAGATAAGTGCTGGTATAGCACCAGCGCGCGTTGGTCTGGGGCCAACTTGGTCATTTTCTCCCAAGCATTCACTTGTCTCAGGTAGCTCCGCGCCGATGTTCCAAGGTCGCCGCCATTCTCGGTGTCCCCGGTGAAGGTGGGGACGATGAGCCGTTCCGTAGGCCCCTTTGTCCCTCCAAAGGGCTGGTGCACAGTCCCCGTAGACGCATCCCATGTCGCCGCAGGCCCTCCATTCCACGAACTTGCCGTAGTAGCTGCCGCGGTCCACGTAGTGGGCGGAGTCCCGGAGGTACTTGTAGAACCCGCTGTAGGCCCCACGTCTCCATCCCACCTCGTCCATGAAGAACTGTTCCATGTAATCGGCGCCGTTCCGCTGGTACCCGCAGAAGTCGAAGTAGAGACGTTGTCGGCTGGCATCCACTGCCAGCGGCCCCAGTCGCCTTGGGATCGCCACGTCCGGTTCCAGCGGCCCCAGCTGCCAGAAGTTTGAGTAGCCCAAGACCAGTTCGAGGCCCCGTTGCTGTCGGCGGAGTGGTTGCCGCCGTCGCTCCCTCCGTCTTGAGAACCTCTGCTGTCCCAGCGTGCCTGCCAGGCTTCCCAGTCTTCCCTTGTCCAAGGCCCAGATGCATCCCCGTCACCTGAGGTCCCATTTCCTTGGACTTCCCAAGACTGATCATCAGTAGCAGGAGTAGGTCGCGCAGCTTCGCGTTCAGGCTCGGCAGCAGCATCAACTTGATTGCCGCCGCCCCAAGGGTCTGAAGTGGACCACGGGTCCGCATCATCAGGACTGGCCATGGAGCGAGAGGCTCCGCTACCAGTGACAGCTTCTAAGAGGGCCTACAGCTGCCACTGGTAGCTAAGGACCCTTCTAAACCCTAAGAAAGCAAAGGCGCACAGGCCTTTTCGCTGGGCTCGATCACATGTGCCTTCGGCGGACTCGTCTGAAACACTCCAGCGACCTGTGCGAGCGACTTCAGGCTTACACCCCCTCCACCCCCCCAAACCCTATCCTTATGTGGAGCAGGGGAGCAGGGACAAAAGGCCTTGCATGACCGTGAGTTGCGGTCAATACTTCTAAACAGCCTCTGAAGCTTGGGATCCATTACCTGCATTGGCTCCTGCTAGATGGGCCTCTGCGTCCCTGAGACTATTGAGCTGGTGACCCTTGACATTGAAGCGGTCTTGGGGCATGCAACGTTAACTGTACACCAATGAGCAGGAAGCAACACCAAACAACCGTGCAGCTAGACCGGATTGCGTGGGAGATATCGTGCATTTGTTGTACGGAAAGACGCAGCATTTACTACAAGTAGCAACTTCCTGGCCATGCAATGCATGGAAAACATGCCAGGCAGGAGCGTAAACATCCCCGCTGAAGCACCGATGCTTGATTACCGGACCGTGTGGTATGCTTGCTTAAGCTCGGGTCTATGTGTCTGATGGCCTACTACACCTTCATAGCTGGAACAGGGGGCATCCGCATACCGCGGTGGAGTGGGCAATCGACTTGTCCGGCTTCTCACATCGTGAAATCGGAGGATGCAAGCACCGTCCGCTGATCCAGCTCAGAGATGGTGAGAGTTCGTGCAAGGATAAATGAGCCTCATGCAAGGGCCTTCATCATTAGAATAGGGTCTTGGGTATATTGTAGTTTGATTGGAATGAGAACCATGAGGAATGATCTTTGTAATGCAGGCTTCTTTATCATCGAGCTCAAAAAGCCTCGCTGTGTCCTTCTTGAAGAGTCCGCTGCGCTTCTTCTCCCTGAGGGTCTCGTCCAGCTCCGTCAGCTTTGGAATCAAACCTGTGGGCAGCTTAACCTTACTCAGGGTGCAGGATCGCTATCGAATTGTTTTTTACATCGATGTTTTAAAAAAAAACAATTCGATAGCAATCAAACCTGTGGGCAGCTTAACATTACGTAGGGTGCAGGATCGCTATCGAATTGTTTTTTACATCGATGTAAAAAAACATTTCGATAGCAATCAAACCTGTGGGCAGCTTAACATTACTTAGGGTGCAGGATCGCTACCGAAATGTTATTTACATCGATGTAAAAACCATTTCGATAGCAATCAAACCTGTGGGCAGCTTAACATTACGTAGGGTGCAGGATCGCTATCGAATTGTTTTTTACATCGATGTAAAAACAACTCGATAGCAATCAAACCTGTGGGCAGCTTAACCTTACTTAGGGTGCAGGGTCGTTATCGAACTGTTTTTTACATCGATGTAGAAACAATTCGATAGCAATCAAACCTGTGGGCAGCTTAACCTTACTTAGGGTGCAGGATTGCTATCGAATTGTTTTTTACATCGATGTAAAAAACAATTCGACAGCAATCAAACCTGTGGGCAGCTTAACATTACTTAGGGTGCAGGATCGCTATCAAATTCTTTTTTACATCGATGTACAAAAACAATTCGATAGCAATCAAACCTGTGGGCAGCTTAACCTTACTTAGGGTGCAGGATCGCTATCGAATTGTTTTTGACATCGATGTAAAAACCATTCGATAGCAATCAAACCTGTGGGCAGCTTAACATTACTTAGGGTGCAGGATCGCTACCGAAATGTTATTTACATCGATGTAAAAACCACTTCGATAGCAATCAAACCTGTGGGCAGCTTAACATTACTTAGGGTGCAGGATCGCTATCGAGTTGTTTTTTACATCGATGTAAAAACAATTCGATAGCAATCAAACCTGTGGGCAGCTTAACCTTACTTAGGATGCAGGATCGCTATCGAATTGTTTTTTACATCGATGTAAAAAACAATTCGATAGCAATCAAACCTGTGGGCAGCTTAACAATACTTAGGGTGCAGGATCGCTACCGAATTGTTTTTTACATCGATGTAAAAAACAATTCGATAGCAATCAAACCTGTGGGCAGCTTAACATTACGTAGGGTGCAAGATCGCTATCGAATTGTTTTTTACATCGATGTAAAAAAACCATTTCGATAGCAATCAAACCTGTGGGCAGCCTAACATTACTTAGGGTGCAGGATCGCTACCGAAATGTTATTTACATCGATGTAAAAACCATTTCGATAGCAATCAAACCTGTGGGCAGCTTGACATTACGTAGGGTGCAGGATCGCTATCGAATTGTTTTTTACATCGATGTAAAAAAAACATTTCGATAGCAATCAAACCTGTGGGCAGCTTAACATTACTTAGGGTGCAGGATCGCTACCGAAATGTTATTTACATCGATGTAAAAACCACTTCGATAGCAATCAAACCTGTGGGCAGCTTAACATTACTTAGGGTGCAGGATCGCTATCGAGTTGTTTTTTACATCGATGTAAAAACAATTCGATAGCAATCAAACCTGTGGGCAGCTTAACATTACTTAGGGTGCAGGATCGCTATCGAGTTGTTTTTTACATCGATGTAAAAACAATTCGACAGCAATCAAACCTGTGGGCAGCTTAACATTACTTAGGGTGCAGGATCGCTATCGAGTTGTTTTTTACATCGATGTAAAAACAATTCGATAGCAATCAAACCTGTGGGCAGCTTAACATTACTTCGGGTGCAGGATCTAGGGCTTTAGGGTGTTGGGGTTTAAAGGTGCTTTTTCCGGTGAGGGATTTCGGGCTTGGGTTCAGCGCTCTATCCGCAAAGCCGTCGCATCTGATCGAGGTACCTCAACTTCAAACATACAGTATACAGCGGAAGGCTCATCACGTGGGCCAGCTGTTGCCACGCGCAAGAAGCCGTACATACACGATAATAGCGCCGCACGAATCAACCTCGCTAGGAAGGGACATGACATGCAACGATGATTGGAAGACACATCTCTGTCGCCCTGCCTTGCAGCTACCCGAGAGGCACGCAAGCTCTGGCGTTTGGAACTACATAATAAAGGGCTTGGGGTTTTAGGATTAAAGACGCTCTTGTGTACCAGAGCATACCACCCGCTATCATCGCGCTGTATTCCGGGCAGAACCGCAACCTGTCTCCAAGACCAACCACGTCTTGAGAAGTTGGAAAGTCTTTCCGGGTGAGTCAAGTCAGGTGTCTCAGGCATAGATGCAAACCTAGTTCATTGTTGGGACAGGATTAAACATGTACACTGCTATTCCTTATTGGGTTCAAGTACCCATAAACATGTAAAATGGTACCCAACTAGGACAAAGAAACTTGCAACAGGCTTCAAAGAGTTTGCCCACAGGAGAGGGATGAAAGACTCTCGCTGTCCAGCCCTTCCGATCTTTTGCACCAGGGTCTTCTTGCTGCATTTGCTGCTGAGAGCTATTGAAGGGCAAATGCTGCCCATGTATGGTGCAGCTTCTTATTCCTCGTGCTAGCTCCACCAATAGCGGAATACCTCTCGCAGGGCCAAACTCGTAGCTCCCCCGGCCCGAACACCTTGAAACCAAGGGTTCCCGCCAGGCCTCCGTGCGGCGTAAGCTCCCAAAGTCCTTGCAAGAGAGCCAGCCACGAAATCTTTTTCGGCTCCTTGGCCTCACCTGGGCGTGGCGCTGCTTGAGGGCGTCTGCCGAGTATATATATATATATATATATATATATATTTCTATTTCTATTTCTATATATATATATATATATATATATATGTTGTAGGGGAACAGGGGTCTAGAGGGCTTCGGGCCTGCGAAGAGAAGCGTCATCGATCTTGACAGCGAACTGTCTGTAAAGTGGAATGCGGGCTGAATGCAGTGCTTGCAATACCACCCCAATACTACCCTACCACCACCGCCGCCGCCACCACCACCACCAGTCCAACAGAAGACCAGTTCTGACAATTACAGTACTCATCATCAGAGAGTTTTTTAGGATCCGGGCTTAAGGCTTCATGGGTCGGGTTGACGAGGAGCACTCAGCTGGACCCACGAAAATGACGAAGAACGCGAGCAACAGTTGCAATACTACAATGACGATTGTCCGAATAGCAACAGAATCCACAGTGGTGAGAGTGCGATCTTTTCTTGCTGTTAGTTTTGCAATATACCGCTAAGAGGGTCTGAACTTCAAGGCGCAATCTCAAGCCACACACTCCACACCCAACAATTCAACACGCAAACGAAAAGCTTTACCATAACCCTAACTCATTCTGAACCTCAGCCCAAACGGCCGTAGCCAGAGACAAGAGAGCCTAAACATGCCTAAACCGGTGGTTCAAGCTTCCGGGCGTTGTGGGTTTCGACGCTCACACTCGCACAAGGCAGGCAAGGCTCCACACAGTCCACAGTATCTCCACTACTCACATCTAGCAGCCTGCTTCCGTCCACCCCTCATAAGAATAGAAGGGGTTTAGACTTCAGGAATCAAGGTTGGGTAAGGTTCTCTGCTACTTGTACTGACCTTGTTGGGGCAAGGGCTGTCGGTCTAGCGCCCGTGTGCTGTTGGATTTGGAGTTGCGGCTACTCGTGCAGGCTCTAGTATCGGGGCTCTCGCCCGGCTGTTTTGCTGCTTGTGTTTCAGCATCCAGTCTCAAACTCCACCCCGGCAGAACGTTCATCTCATACATCCTGAATGAAGCCTTGAAGCATGATCTAGGTCACAACATGAGGAGATTAGAGAGCGCGAGGCAAGAATATTGCAAACTTTTTTGTGTGTGTACAAGTCTGAAGTTCATTTAACCGTTCCAAGTTGCTGTAGTATCCACGTGCCTGGCAAGAGCCGCAAGAAGGCAGATCTCAATCAGGTTACTGTAACATAAGCGTGTGTTTGCTTGTGTGTGCGCGAACGATTCTTGTATTGTAGGGTGCTGTAGGGTTGTATAGAGGACACCTTTCCTAAGGTCCAATCGAACCCAGTCTCTCACTGGGAAATACTTAGTTTAAGTTACCGTGATGAGGAAACCATATTTCCTTACTATGGTAATAGTCTCTCTTAGTTCTTTGCATTCAGACTCTTTCACAGTCAATTTCCGGTTTCAGCTCCTTCTTTATGCGGTTGAAGTTCTTGGGTTTAGGATTGAACGCTTTCGACCTGACGTCAAAGCCTAAAGCCTCATGCCACAAATCCTGAATCCTAAAGCTCGAAGCTCTATATGAACTCTAAGCCGCAACCCCTGAAACCTCATGACACCTCCAACCTGGAGTAGGGCTCTTAATTTCACCAGTTCGTAGCTGCTCCTGACCCTAGAAGTTCAGCCTTTCTCATTATGGAAGGTCCTGGGAGGCCCAAGCTATTAAAGGTTACCGATTCAGCTGCTCTTGACGTTTTACGTCTTGAGCCACGCATTGGCTGGGAGTTTGGCATGTAGAGATGGGCTTTGGGCCCCAAGGCCTTTAAGATCTTAGGATGTAGGGGCTTGAGCTCTTGCACGCAGGTGTTTCGGATTTGGGGTCTCAATTTGTGGCATGGCCTCAGAAATTGAAATAACAAGTTGGCGCCTGTTACGGCACAGGATTTTGCTTTGGTAAGAAACCCTGCAGTCTCCCTGAGCTTCTCGCCTTGTCCCAGTCGCGCATCTCAAGTGCGATGGCCGCGCATTCTGCGTACTGCTTGCGGGAATGCAGCACCTGCAACAGATCCCCCCAATTTCTAAAAAAGCAGAAGCTGCAGGTCTAAAACACTTCCGACGATGGTTCTAAAGTTTCTAAAGTCTTGAGAGTACCTCTTCTTGCGAGAGGTTATTGGGGAGATCCATAGGAACATACCTGTGCCCACATCGACATCCTCCGTTGATTAGAATCTGATTTCAACACGTAGGCGCTTGCATATTCTGTCAGCCCCACCAGCACCAGACCACCCTCCTTATCCCTCCACCCCGTTCAAAACATCAAAAACAAACACAGTCCCCATCGCCACCCACAACCACCCTCAGCCCGCCGCAAAGACTTAGACCCTATTGTAGGGGCTAGGGGCCTCAATAATTAGAATAGGCTTTGGGGATATATTGTACTATGATCATATCAAGGAACCCCGCAACCATATTCTAATTATTATGGCCCCTACATTACATTTTTTTGCCACTCACACTCGGACAAGCCTGGCAATGTCTTTAGTTGTGGTTCGGCGACTTCGTTAACTACTCGCTAAGCAGTTTCACTAAGAGTAATGCTGTCAGATGGAACTTATGGTCAAGACACCACCAACTGCGCAAGCAAAAAATCTTAGTCCACTGACAGCAATCTCTACCCAGGTGCACTCGCCTAAACCAATGACACAGTGGACCCCAGACCTTAGATTAGATTCGCCCCAGGAGAGACCTGTGAAACCCACTGCTCTACTTCATGGCACACTAGTTCCACGCTACAGGCTTCACACGGGCTTCGCATTGGCTTCCATGCATAGCAGAAACCGAGTGGTTTTGACTTGCAAACTTACAGACGCGTGGTAAGCTGTTCATTCGTGCTTCCGTTGCACCTACAGATATCCAGTTCTGTCCGCTTGCGCGCACACTCCAATTCCTGAGTTTCCTCTACTTGCTCTGCTTTCGCTGTATGTCCTCTAGTAAATTGCAGGTTAATTCCAAATTCTCCTAGCAGTCATGCAAAAATGTCTGCAGTAGGTGTTGGGCCCACCCTCTCACATGCATGAAGCACTGACATGCAGGTCAAAAGCACTGGATATAGGTATATTCCAAATTGCAACGCAGCCATGCAGCACTGGCATGCAAAGAGCTTTGCGCTCAGACTGCAAAGAATCTGCAGTAGGTACTGGGCCCACCAACTCACATGCAGATCACGAGCACTGACATCCAGGTCACAAGCGCTGGATATATGTATGCGCTATTCCGAGCATTTGATATCTCAAATTCTCACGCAGTCGTGCAGCACCAGCATGCAGAGAGCTTTGCGCTGAAAACTGCACCAGGCTCACCCTTGTATTTGGGCCAAACACGCAGCCTCATGCACATGCAGATCACAGGCACTGATTTTCTTGAACTGTGTTGTTCCGCAAGCTTCTGCATATTGCAGAATCAACTGCGGCGTGGCCCACCATTGCGCAAGAGCGCTGAATTCTCACCAGTCTCGGAAACTTCCCAAGACTTGAAGCATCTAATTAGGGTCAGTCAAACACCAAGGCAAGCAGAGAGAGTGCATTGCTTGTAAATTGCATCTTGCTCATGCATTGCTAGTCCACAGTCCATCTTCCTTGCGCCAAATTCACATGCAATCTCCAGGTCATTCCCTGCATGCCCAAATTCCATCCATCGTGCCCTCATCAGGTGCGAATTTATTGCCACAGGCGAGGGGTTCCCAATGTATGGTCAACATACAAACACCACGTCCTCATTCTGATTCTGGGCGCATACACAGTTCTAGTGTATGCGGCTTCGACCTGGTGCAGTCGCTCTCCCCACTGTATTGCAAATCTGCATCAGTCGTACCCAGTAGGCCACAACCATGGGGATACGAGCAAGGCTGTCAGTTTCCATGCACAGGTCCTCCAGGAAGCCCAGCACACTCATCACCCTAAAGCGTGGCTCTTCCGAGCCTTCAAGCAGTTCAATAAATGTTTTGAATTCCCAGTCCGTCATCCAGCTGAGCCGGTATGCGGCGTGCTAGTCCAAAGGTCGTGGCGGCGAGGATGTGTGTGAGACACTTGTGACATCCGGGGCTTCGCAAGGTACACGGTTGATTGAAACAACTGGACTCTCACGAATCCCAGCAGCAACATGACCCTAAACCCCAAACCCTGAATCCCCGAAGCCAGCGCTCTTGGACCGTGCCTCCAGCCTGAGGCCTGGAATGCCCAAATCTTCGAGGCAAGTATCTTGCTCCTCCTGGGATAGGGCTTAGGGTTCAGGGCTTGTAGGGCTTAGGCTGGATTTTTGTTCTTCCATTTTCCGGGTTCAGGATAGTGATTGGAGGCGCCTAAACAATTCGACCAGGCCATGAAGGGCTTTTCCCAGAATTACAAAGGAACCGCCAGGAACAGCATATCTTGGGATGTAGGGAAGCAGAAGAAGGAGCCGTGCTAGACTGGAATACAGTTTCGGTGTAGATCATACTATGAACCATGCGGGTTTGTAAAGAAGTTCCTAGGAGCCTAGGAGTTCCCTGGTAGTCGTAAGGCTGCGGGGTTTGTCCCCTCTCGCATGCCTAGGATCTATGCGGGGAAGCTTCGGGTTTAGAGTGCAGGGCTTGCATGCTACAGTTGCGGGGGCAAGGCATCTAATTTCTCGGGCAACAGGTTATGGCTTCAGGGATGTGGGAGTGTCCGAAAATAGGGGACCCGAGTATAATACCCTAAATAGTAGGATCCTTATTATACCTAACCCCCAAATAAGGTACCCCTAATTTTCGGAAGCTCCCATGTGGCATCTCATTGTCAGGTTTAGGGTGTGGGGTGGTTGCTCCCAACCCGAAACCCTCAGGCTCATGCTCAGCAGGTTTTGGAATTTGCTTTCGGGTCCTGATCGCCTGTTGCCTGCCTCATGCATTAAGCCTTGCCGCTCGATGTGGCGTGCCTGCCTGAAGTTGTGTGTTTGTATATTGTTTTTCACCTTTTTGAGGCTGCTGTCGAAGCAGATCCATCTGAAAGCTTTGACCCGCAACACCTGGTGGAACTCTCTTGGCTGCCTCCCGAGCATACGGCTGACGAGTTTAGGATTGAGAGACAGAAAAACATAGGTATATATATATATATATATATATGTATGTATACCGGTTTATGAACCTATCTCTAAGTGTGTGTGTGTGTGTGTGTATATATATATACATATGCATACGTATATATCAGCTTCTATATCTATTTCCATTTTGTCTCCCGCATCTACATATATATATATATATATATATATTTACATGTCTATATATGTACTTGAACCAGGGAAAAGACCAGGAGGCTCTCCCTCTTACACAAGCGTTCCGAGCGAAGGGGTCGCGCCCAGACTGCAACTAGCAACAAAAGCAACCTCTGCGATGACGAGACAACTTGTCGCCTAAAAGGGGTTTAGGGTTTCAGGTTCCAACCTTGCAAACTGACATGCCTTGAACCCTTTTTGCAGCAGGCCTCGTTGTCCAGCAGCCCGGTTACAGCATACTTTGAACCCTAAACCCTTAACCCCTCTACCCTTAAACCCTAGACCCCTTAACCCTAAACCGCTTGGTCTATATATGTCGCGAGACGTCTGGGAGGATGCCGACGCATTTCTTCAGGGAGTCCTCGAGGCTTCTGTCCTGCCCAAGACACCTAACTACCTGTCGGGTATCATGGGGAACTCAAGGTTGATCTTTTTGGTTGTATAGGAAATAAAATAGGGCCTATGCTACCCAAAAAGGGACTCTGCTACAAGCCTAAAGCTGCAGGTTTGAGGAACGGGTTTCTTTGGCAAGCCCTGAGCCCTAAACTGGGTTTTCTATGCTCTAGCGTCTCCGCAGGCCTTCTCTTCAGGATCCTAGGGTTCGCTTGGCTCTCCATTTCGGAGGCTCCCTCGCAGCTTGGGAGTTTTGGGTTGAAGGTGTGGGAAATTTGGGTTCTTCAAGTTTAGGACTTGGGGATGCCAGGTTGATGGTTGGGGCTTTGGGGATTGGTGTCTGTGGCTACAAGTTCAGCCTTTCAAAGTGTCCCCCTTGCTCGAGTGAACTCGCTGCGGAGCTCAAGGGCGTGAGGTCTGAGACTCTGCACACGAGAGAACCAGAAGCCACTCACACTACCCATCTACAGCTCAGCAGCGCCAGGAATCCTACCCTTTACCAACGGCCTGACCCCCAAGCTGCCCCAGAATCTACGCCCTTAACACTGGACCCCCATCTCGAATCCGAGGCCATGAAACCCCCTTGAGCTACTGCCTGCGGCTTCTTTCGCAGAAGCTTTGCAAGGTCTCGCGTGGCAGAGATCACAGCATCCAGCAAAGGCCTGGGTAGGTCTGGGCTGCTCGCGTGTGGGTTTATGTGGGTTTCGGAAGTTCTAGGGATCAGAGTAGAAGCACTGGTGTTGGCGCCGATTATGCTTTACGGTTTCCGAATTAGTAGAGTTGCCGGTGTAATAGATCATGGGCGGGGTCGCTGTGAGTTTTGCCTTAAAGACGAACGTGGAAGTTGAACAACGGCTCTCAGCAAAATGGTCGGACGGGCAATTCGGATGACAACTCCCAGTGTAGACAGTGGCGGTTGGCAAGACTGGCCGTAAGTACCTGCCCGGTAGCAAGTAGGGAAAGTGGCATAGTGTACATTACTGAGAATGCTAAACGCTTATGCCCAAAACTAAATGCACGATGGAAGCATGCCATTGCAGAAGTTGGCCGAGCCAAGGCTTTGGGTCTACTGCTTAGGATTTAGGCTTACCTAGAAAACATGTTGGCAGTTTCCGAACATGGCGCAGAAATGCACTCCGTTAGCTCTGCATTCAACCTGGCGTGCTTTACGGTAGAATAGGACCAGGAGTTCATACATGTGGAAATATAAACAAACAAAAGTAGACAGTATACAATAACCCGGAATACATTCGACTCTTGCGCACTTTTGCAGAGGCACCCCGAAATATTCTTGTCCTTGCCCTTCTGCGCGAGCGTCACGGCGTGCTCCACCTTGTGTTTGAGGCTCCCGGATGATGAAGCCCCTGTAAAACTCTGAACCGGGTTACCTCGAGGTTTAACTTCTCTACCTTCAGCATGCAGTGCATGAGAGCGGTTTGGGAAATGAAGGAAGCGGGCTGGGCATTCTGTAGTTGTATGCAGCTTCGTAGGCAAGGAAACGGAATAAGAGGGCCCCGGCCGGGCAACGACACAAAGACACGGCAGCGGAAACAGAACACTCGAAATCTAGCAGTTCTCGCAACCCCTCTCCCTGAAAGCTGAGCTTTCGGAGATCATCTTGCTTCCCGGTATGGGTGAAAGCTCGACCTCCAACCCTTGACGGCGCTAGTCCAATTCAGGTAGGTCGGCCTTCGCGGGGCTGATCGGCAGTCTTTAAGACGGTGTGCTATTCATGAGTTCCTGCATTGTCTTGAACGTCGGGTGTGCCTAAATATGCGAAACATGTAGCCAATAACGTTTCATTCAAAATGGAGGAAGGAAGGGATGGTGGTGAAGGGCTTCTTCTGGAGAACGAAGACATGTGCAAAACAAATCACAGTCTGAACACATGGCCTAAACCTCGGAGATGGCTAGGCCCGCTGGCCTGCCACACCCTGAGCATCACAAGATGTGGAATGGTTGGTTTCGACACAAAGGCTGCCAAAACCTCGAGCCGGGAAAGCACTCTGCTTTTGCAAACCGAGCCCCGAACTGTAAATCCCCATCCCCAAACAACCATCAACCGTTACGGCAGCTGAAGTGCAAAGGCCGACCAAGCGTGCGCCCTCGCGAAGGCTTTCAGAGCACGCAAGTCCTCACAGGACAGATGCATAGGAAGCACAAAAAGGTTGCTGCAGGCCGACTGCGCATCCGTGTACCTGTGTACACATGTGGGTGGCTGTCAAAATTATGATCCCTGTTTGGGTCCCGATTATAATACGGCACCTATTATTTAGGGTACCCAAAAAGGGAGCCTAATTTTGACAACTACCCATGTGTGTACATAGAAAGCCCACCGGAACACTCCAAAGCACCGGCCTGAATTCCGTTGCATTCTCTATCTCACTGTTTCTGTGCAGGTATACTCCCTCGTGAATGCTCTCTACCTTTGAAAAAACCACACAAATACATATATGAAGTGTAAGCTGACATCATTAGCACGAGCAGACATAATTCAAGCGTGTATACATCTGGCTCAAACATGAAGACTAATTGCAAAGAAAGGTATGCATCTTTGTACTTACGCATGCATGCACGTGCTCATGTGCTCACTCGATCCTATACTGAACTTAGAACCCTAGCAAAAATTATAATTTTAGCTGTTTCTTAAAGGTTATAATAACCAACAATTAAAAATATTTCTAAGTACCCCCAAGGATCCTCCCCAGCCAGGATCCACATCTTCCCCGGTCGCTCGCCGAGCTTGATCTCCTCTGATCCGGGGTGGACTAAGCGCGCCCCGGTTTCAGTAACCTAAAGCCCATACCTTTTTTTGTTTTTACATCTGGACTTGATGAATGCCAGCACCCTCTACCCTAAACTCTAAACCGGATTCAATAACCTGCTTATTTCGTGGTTTAGGTTCGGTGCTGAAATCGTAGAATGGGGCTACCTTTTTTCGGGCGTTATATATCATTGTCGTAGACACCGAAAGGCGCACAAGATTCAACTGTTATCTGAGTTGGGGCAGGAGCCAAGGTCTAGGGCTTTATGGTACAGGGTGTATTACACCTCATGATAGGGTTACTATGAGTTGGGCTTACGATGACGGGTACCGTCAGGGTTTCCATGAGGGTTGCTCCATGGGTTGCCAAAGAGTATCATAAGCTTTCTATAATCGCTCTATACGATCAACTGAAGGGCACAATGAGGTTTCCATAAGGCCGCTATAAGATAGCAGGTTCAGGCCCTAGAGCTGCTAGGCCATAAATATGTTGGGTTCGTCGGGTTTTGGACCTTCAAATGAAGGTACCAAGTGCTCAGAATCCCCGACATGCAGCATCGGGCTTATTCCCCTCGGCTTTTTCTGCCTGTCGGGTGTCTGTACAGCCTGGGGTTGGGCAAGGCTAGAGGAATGTCAAGTGCTCCAAACAACAGCCAAACTTTGTGCACACCGTTCATGGAAATCCTTAAGAACATAGTTCTAAACACGCAGCCGACTTATGAAACAAGACGGACCTAGGACCTAAGCATAATGAGACCCCTCAGCCCAATATCCAAAAACCCACACGTGCTTACAGCCATTCTTTAGACAGGCTTGATTGGAGCTCGCCCGGCCGTCAAGCCCCAAACTAATCTCGGAAAGACCCCTGAATGCCCTAAACCCTAAACACCCCTTTGAAATTCAATGAACTCCCTCAGCCCGAATTAAATAGCTAAGCCTTAATACTTCTTTGAGTTTCAATGCAACCTATGATCCCAAACCCCTGAAAACCCTTTGAGTTTCAATGAAATCCTTCAACCCTGAACACCCTAAACACCCTTTAAGTTTCAATGAAAGCTCTCAACCCTAAATCCCTAAACACCCACCAGTAGGGGCCTTAATAATTAGAATAGGGTTTTGGGGCCCATTATAATACTATAATTATATTAAGGAACCCCAAAAATAGTATAGGTAATTACTAAGACCCCTATATTACAACCCCTTTGAGTTTCCGCCCTGCCTCGGCACTCTCGGCAGCTTCACGGAAACAGCCTTTTGCCTCTTGCAGGGCGCGTGGAAGGGTTGTAGTTACGGTTTAGGGTTGTAGGGCTTTGGGTTCTCGAGTTTTCAGGCTTCGGGCTCATAAGTCTTAAGGGTTTCCGGCGTTGAGGGTTACAGCTGCTTTCCAATATTTGTGTTTGGGGTTTAGTTAGGGCTTCAGGTGTTAGTGCTTTAAGGCGTTCAGGTTTAGAGCTTGAGGGTTTAGGATTGATTGTTCAGAATAACCCGCACCTTTGACTCGCGGGTGGTGGCTCATCGAGCACTCAACCCGGTGACACTCAACTGTTTTCCCCTCCTGCCAAGCAAGGACGAAGCCCGCATTGCAGGGTAACTTCGAAGTAACAGAGGACAAGGCTGTACTCGTGACAGCTAATTGGCATTGCACCTGGTTTTCGGGTTTGGGGGTTTAAGGGGGGAGCCCAGCGTTCACGTTTTTCTGAAGTGCCATAGTCAGTACTACTCGTCTCAGCTAAACAAGTTGCAAATAGGCCATTCTTACAACAATCACAGCTATGATCAGCAGTGGGATGACGTTTTGTGATCTTATTACTGTTCTGTCTTACTTGTTTCGGCTTTTCGCGGCCTCAGGACTTGACGGTTTAGGGTTTCTTGGTGTAAGTGTTGCAGTTTTCAGATTCTGCTGCTATAGGGCTTTATTGGTTGGCTTCTTTCTTTTGCAACAAGGTTTTGTTTGTCTCCCAGGGCTTGGGGCTTTTCAGTGTTGGACTAAGGCTTGGGGCTTCAAGGCTTTAGGGTGTAAAGGCTCTGGAAAGTTGGCGCTGTCCGGTTCAGGGCTTGGTATCAGGATCCCTGCCGACAATGGGGTCTGTATATATATATATATATATATATATATATATGTATATGTATATATACATATATATGGTCACGTGCTCCGCGGCCCCCCCCTTCCCCCCCAAAGGTCAATGGTCCGGATATAGGGTGGGACCCCCCCTCCCCTGTGGTGTGGGGTGTGGGGTCCCTCTTCCCCCTGTGGGGTGGTTGTGGGTTTTTTGGGGTTGAGGGTTTAGCTTAAGCTTTTGAGTGTTGGGTTCATACGGTTACAAGGTATAGCGCTTCGAGTCGACATGGGGAGGATTTGCGGTGTATGTTCTTCTTTCGGCTTAGAGCCTGCAGTTAGGTGGGGTTTAGGGTTGGGTGTAGGGTTTGAAGTACAAGTTAAGGATACTCAAAGCAGGGGCACACGCTGCGTTATAGGGTTTACGGCTTGCTTGCGAAGGGCTTGTGTGCGAGCCTTGGCCGCCAGCACCATCCCACCATCCAGCGGCAGCTCCAACAGCCCCGACCCCTTTCCGCACACGCCAGCCCCCCCCCCCCCCACCCCTAGCAGACCGTACCATTGGGGGGGGGCTGGGAACGCCAGACGCCTGACCATATATGACCATATACATGTATCATATAATTGTTACTGAGTATACTGTATAATTCAATATCATATTGTGTTGTTTTATATCAAATGATGTTACATTATACTATATTGCATGATGTTACAGTATATTAGACCATATGACATCATATCATGTGACATTATGTTATGCAGTATTCTATCATTTTATAATCACATCATTCTATACCATATAACATAATATATTAGCAATATAATATGATGTATCAAACTTGTGTGCATGCACCTATATCCCTACATGCTTCCTCTACAGGAAGGCTTTCAGGACTGGACCTGACAGGTTCAGGCCTGCAGTCGCTAGTGCTTAAGGTTTTATGTACAGTTCTTTCAATGCAGGGCCTCATGTTATGTTATACTGTATGATGTTCTACTACATGGGCGTTTCACAGACTAGGGGCACCTTCGTCACACTTCCTTTTCACACGGATCTTGCTATTCCGTGATGAGGTGTTGGGGCCCAATCTTCCCTGAAACACCTTACGCTACCCTAAACGCTACAGGCCCTAAAACCCTGAATGTTCTCGGGTTGACGCCCCTTGTGCTAGCAATAGCCGAACGTCTTCGCATCCATGTAGGCTAGATGCAGGCTTTCAGACTTTCTTAGGGGTGGTAGGGTTTGAGGTTGAGGGTGAGAAGGGTTCATGGTTTAGGATACGGCTGATAAAAAAACAAAAAAGTCAGCATTGAATAGCCCCACCACCCCAAAAAACAGCGCAGGGGCAAACAGAAGCCTTCCCAAATACCGAAGATCGGAGGTGCGCGAGCCTCAGCGGCTTTGTCTGCCGCCTCCTGTTTCACGCGGCCGGATTGGATTTCCTGACGATCCTCGCAAACATGCCGGGATTTGGGTTTGGGGATGTTGATGGCATATGGAAAAGCTGGTCTCAAGGACGAGGAGGATTAGGGTTCATGCAGAAACCCCCTATGTGGCCCAACAAATGCAAACCCCGGAAAAAGGATGTCGTGCCTGACCTTGGTCCGGCTAGTAAGCACTTTGAAATTTGGGTCTCCATTTTCCTACTGCTCTCCATGTATAGAGACCCTATACTAGAAAGGGTATGACATGGTATGACGGTATAAGCGTGCTACTGGGCGACCCCTCTCCGAGTCTTCAGTTCCATCATATCTTCTGTAAAGGGTCCAGTGTTGTGGAAGTCTTAGGGCTTACGGAAGGTAGTGCTCATCTCGAGCCTATGCCCATTCTAACACGGTTTACCAGGAACTGCTTAGGGACCCACAATGGGAAATCATAATACAGAGCCCTGAAAACGGCAATTAATTTATAGTTCAGGTAGAGCTTAGAGATGAGAGTTTAAGGCTATCCGGCATTACCTCAAAGCGATAGCCTCCTAATCTTTAACAAGGAAATCCTGAAGTTCAAGAAACCGTCAAATGCAAAAACTTATGACCCCTTTTGGGTCAGAATCCCCAGCAGCCAAGGGATTGGAAAAAAGATCCTATCTTAAACCCAAACAGATGGCAACCCCCCCCTTCCTCAGCCCAGTCTCCTGGCTTAAGCCAAACACAAACTATCTTGGCTTCGCTCAAACCCGTCGCAAACGACAATGAATGCTCAAATGCCTTCATCAACTGCGCTTTTGACAGGGCTCTCTGATTTGGGGTCCCGGCGCTCTGACACTCACATCTCACTGGGATGGCTCTGATATCCCTGAACGAAAGACTCCTTCTTGAGGGAATCTCACGAGATTTTCAAAAAACCTTAAGGGAGGGAACCTGAGTTCAGGGTTTGGTGCCCCAAGATGCCCAACTCTTCTTACCAAGACCCCTCAGCTTGCTGCAGAAGCCCCGGCCCCTAAATCCGGATTGAGAGAAAAACAGAGGTCTGACGACGTAACAACCATGCCCACTTTCTGCAACTCCCGTGTATAAACAATATCAATATCAATATATATATATATATATATTTAGATATAGATATAGATATAGATATGCATATGTGTGTGTGTGTGCAAGCACACACACACACTAGTACATGTACATATATATGTACATATACATAACTCTCTCTCTCTCTCTCTCTCTCTCTCCGCGTCTAATAGGGTTCATATTTAGTTATATTGCTTGACAACAACACACACACAAACCAAACCCTCTCTATCAAGGCCCATCCCTCCCCTTGTGTTGGAGACTCTTGGTCCCATCATCGGCCTCAGTCAGCTGCTTCGCCAATTGCTCCAGATCTTGTTTTGCCTCTGCCATGGCTAAGTGAAGGATTTGAGACCTAAACACCCGAATACCAGAAACCCTACAAAACGATAGGAGCGGACGGCTAGGCTGCATACAGTTGCTTTTGATCTTTCCGTTCGAAGTGGCGGGGCAGAAGGCTTGAGGGTTCGTGGTTAATGGAAGCTTGAATGTAATTTGAGAACCTCAAAGCTTTTCAGGAGCTTGGGGGTAGCTGCGTACGCATAGACTAAGCATAGGGTTTTTGTGTCGACACGGGATCGTATGAGGGTTGCGGTGTAGCTCTTGACAGAGGCAGTTCACGCTACTGCAAAACTTAGAGCGGCCGGCTTCCTACCTAAAGCCGGAGTGCATTTCAATGCTTCACTCTCTGTGCGCCTGTGCATCACATGCTGAAAACTCAACGGCTTGAGGCAGAACGGTACAAATAGAACCAGATCAGCTCTAGCACCAGGACTTTCAGCATATTCATAATAACACTACGAACAACACTGTCGTCGACAGCACGAACCCGCGAAGCGCACGTGGGCTTGAATGTCTGCTTGACTGGAAGCAGCAAGCTGAAGGGTTAGGTTTTTGGGTTCCTTCAGGTTCAGTCCGTCGCCAATGGGACAATCCAGTCCAGGTCGGTGAGTCTGCGTCAAATACGAACTTTGCATGCTGGCGGAGTTTTGTCAAAGTGTACTATGACCTGTGCGGCATCTTCCTTCGTTCTCGGTGTCTCTGTTGATCCTTTTCCTACTTTCGCTTTTGGTATGTTGTATGAGCAGATCCTACGAGGTAGCCAGGTAGGCGACTGCATCGTTATTGCTGACCGAACCTCTCGCGCAGAATCACCTGCACGGTCTGCTAACATGTCCTGTTCTTCTCCAAGCAGTGTGATCAGACCGATGCAGCCTCGACAGCTTGCACCAAACAGTCTTCAAGGCAACACGGGTCGCGCAAAATGAAGTCGCAGCTGTTGCACATTCTTGCATCACGATCAGGATGCTCCTCGTCCACCATGCCTCAGAGCTACTTCATGACTGCACAAAGCAAGCCTTCCAAAGAAGACGACCAGCGCGCTCGAACTGATCGCTGGCCTGGCATGGCTGGGAGGTGAGGCCATGCAAGCTTTTCGAGATAAGGATCGGTGCTTCTACTGTTGCTGGTGGTGCTATTGCTACTACTACTACTACTACTACTACTACTACTACTACTACTACTACTACTACTGCGACTGCGACTACAATCGAAACCCCCTAGCGCCACTATTGCCGCCAATAGACAACAACAACTACTACTACAACTACGACGACGACGACTACTACTACTACCACGTAGTACTACCAACACCACTACCACTACCGCTGCCGCTACCGCTGCCGCTACCGCTACCGCTACCGCTGCCGCTACCGCTACCTCTGCCGCTACCGCTACCGCTACCGCGACCACCACCGCCGCCGCCACCACCACCACCACCGCCACCACCACTACCACTACCACCCCTGCTACTACTACTACTACTACTACTACTACTATTACTACTATTACTACTGCTGCTACTATAACTACCACTACCACTAGCCCTGCTGCTACTATACTACTACTACTACTACTACTACTACTACTACTACTACTACTACTACTACTACTACTACTACTACTACTACTACTACTACTACTACTACTACCACGACGACGACGACGACGACGACGACTACCACGACCACTACTACCACTACTAGTACTACTACTACTACTACTACTACTACTACTACTACTACTACTACTACTACTACTACTACTACTCCTGCTGCTGCTGCTGCTGCTGCTGCTGCTGCTGCTACTGCTACTGCGTAGTACCACCACCAGTACCGCTTCCACTACGACTACGACCACGACCACTACACATAGGTGTGGCAAAGAACCAGAAGTCTGAACGTGCCAATCCATTCGAACAGCCTTGCTTTTCGAGCCAGCTGCCTCACATGCTGTCTTGTGTAACTGGGAAATGATGCCAAATAGGGGGCCCGTCCCCCTGAATCAGACCACTGGGTATTCATACTCCCAGATGTGCTGCACCTGGCCTCCTCGAGCTTCTTAGCTTCCAAGAATGCCTGGCGCATGCGGAAAACCAGATACTGTGAGTGCACCCTTCAAGATCTGCCGCACACAGGGGAACATGAAGCACCATAACTACCTCGCCGCTGCCTTCGTCGGTGGAGTTCACTAGCACTTTATACAGTGTAGCAGCCACGAGCTAACGCCTGTCAGCCCTACCAAACCAATCGTTTAATCAACACCCGGACAATTTCGGCCGAGTATTTCTTGTTCATTGCCTGGGACTCTCTACGGAATCCTTCTGCGCAACGCAGGAACGGCAAGTGATCGCATGTGGTTGTTTGCACTTCCATGCTTGCAGCAACTCAGACTGGATGCGTGCACCTGCCCGCACCCCGCCAAGCGGATCGTGTGTCTGCTGACTGCGCGACATCTCTCGAACGGAAACATTTGCGGTTACGACGTGAGGCAACATGCATAGTCGATACAAAACCCGACTGCAGGCTGACAGATGCTCAGCTGATCAACCTTCCGGGGATTTTACAACTCGCAAGTCCTGACCAACTGCCGTCCAAAAACCGGTCTCTCCCCTCTCTCTCTCTCTCTCTCTCTCTCTCTCTCTCTCTCTCTCGCTCTTCCAAAAGTTGTCTATCAGGCACGTCGAGCAAAGTGCACGCACAATAATGTTAAATGTTGATACTGTTCATGGGTCGCTGAGCCTGAAGTCGCGGCAAACATGCAAGTGTGCTTTGCTCCTTGGAAGATTGTGAAGGCTTGCTCTATGCCGTACTTGGCAGAAACCAGCTTTTTCAGAAGCAACAGCTGTGACTGGGTGTGAGCATTGCCAGTGCGGTAGCACCCACACTGCAAACAGCAGCCACCACATGACAGTACTGCACACATTGATATCGGAGCCATACCAAGGCCACAATGCAAAAGCACTACAACTACGTTCAAGTCTTTCGGTTCGGTGCTGGCATCTTGAACATAGCGACCGAAGAACTCAAAGTTGCATTAGTTTACCCATGCCGCACTTCGACTGACAGCAGTTCTTGGAATATGACAACTGCTTCTACCGACTTTTCTGATGCAACCACGACCAGGTGGAGCAGACTTTACTTGGGACGACGAGTGTAGTCGTCAATTAATACGTAGAAGAGGATTCGTTTAAAGGGGTCTATAAGGGTTACTTTAAGGGTACTATTGTACAGGAGACTTTATAATTAGAATAGGGTTGTGGCACGTTTGCCCCGCACTTTCTTCTGTTCGTTTGGGGGTGTGTTTATTTAGAATAAGGAACCCACCAAAATAGTATGAAATGTTCAGGCCTATTACGAGACCTCTGGCTCTGACTCCTCCATATATGGGTTTAAGGGTTTATTGGCTTTCAGACGAAACCTGAAATCTTCCGGCAAAAACACCAACGCGTTAAGATCACAACTGTGGGTCTGGAGATCCATGTTCCTAGGGCCCTGACGGTACCCTTATGAGAAACTCCCTTATAACTTATAGTTGTCCTTATAGGAACCGTTAATTTAAGGGTTCCTTTAACAAGGCCAACCGTCGGATCCTTAACTTGTGTTCCTTCAAGCCTTTTCCGTTCCAACACCCTAAGCCCTTTTTGTGAAGGCGGTCTCTCTGAACCACCCTGAGCCATGAACCCCAAACAGAATTCTTGGGACCTTAGGACTGTGCTGTCTCAGACATTGCTTACGAACTCCCACAGCTCTAACGGCTTTCGGACTTTGGCGCAGGCGCACATAAGCAAAAATCGGAAGCCAGAGCCCTCTGCGTATCTTGAGCGGGACGCGTCTATTCGCATTCCCCGAGGTCGTGCTCGCCACAGTGCCTTGTGTGTGTTTGGGATGCCCATGGTGCACTCCCCACGCTGTGGCAGTGTGGTGCGCCCCCGTGATTTTGGACTCACTGGGGTGGTTCTGGGAGCCTCACCAGTGCTCCTGAAATGGCTCTGCGGCAGGGCCTGGACTTCTGCAGGAATGTGTTCTTTCGCAGTTTGGAGTCTACACTGGCACAATGACAACAGGCTTTGTCTGCAAGGGCTTCGTGCATCGTCCCCAGGGGTTAGCTCGCTTTTATCGAGGACCAATGCTTTTCATGAAGACACCGAGGGACGGCACAAACGCAAATTTGCGGACTGTGTTAGCCAATCCGACATTTAAGTAAGCTGCGAATTCACGCGCGTACAGGAACGATGGCCACCCCCAGCTCCCCGAAAAGGCATGCCACGATGGAAGCGGGCGCAGGCGCGAGGGGCGACGCAAAATTTGAGCGCTCAGGGCGAGAATGGATAGCATCGCCCGCAAGATGGAAAGTGCTGAAACGACCTCCATTACAAGCCCAGTCACATTTAGCCTTGTTGCTGCTATCCGCACTGCCACCACGGATACCGAGTACCCTAGCCCGAAAGGGCAAAACGAGCCCCAAGAGGTTAAAGGCCACCTCCCCAGCCCAACTTCTCTGGAACCTCGGCCGCCCGCTGCCGTGTAGAGCTGGGAAGAAAGTTGGAATCTTCCAGAGGAAGCTCCTCTCATGGAGAAGGGCTCCAGCAGGATTGAGCATTTCGGGTCTAAAGGGATGGGGGTTCCAAGCATGCAAGGTTTAGGCTTTCTTTAAGGGTTAGCGTAAGGTTTAGGATGCAGGGTTTAGGAGGCAGAGGAGAATGGGGGTTTGGGATTATTTGGGTGCGTCGCCTACAGCACCAGATGAAGGTGCACGGTATTTCCTATGCAAACGCACCCCCGAAAGGTCCGAACCCTCATATCAAGCGCAACCTCAGCGAACCTTTAACACCAAACCCTCTCAATTGCCCTAAATGAGACCCCTGAACTAGGACCCTCCCCTGCAGTTTCGCTTTAGATGAATACAGAAAGAAACCCTTAGGCACATCTTTGCTAATTGTCCAAACTTCTGAACTGCCGTATGCCTAGCATCCCAAACGGACGGTCAAAGTC